AATGAGTTCTTGTAATATAGACTAGATACTATTTCAAGATACTTGGGCTTTTCCTATGAGGTACATCCAGTAAGTATCCAAGGGAAAGTACAAGCACTGACCAGAGTTTCCACTCTTCCTGCAGTGCTCTCCAGAAGTTGAGTTCCAGATCTAACAAAAATTGCTTTAACAAAACAACAGCAAACAACAAAAAAGCCCCCAAAACACATACTTACACAAACACACACACTCACACAAACAAAACCCCATCAAACCTCTCCAACCAAATCAAAAAAACCCAAAGAAAACAGACCAAAACCACCTCTGATTTAAAAAAGAGTAATACAAATGAAATATCCCTGTTGTTTCTTGTTACAATCTCTTAATTGTCTTTGCAGGAATTATTCCAGACTATAAATTACTTCTGAAATTTTATGTTTGGTGTTTTCAGGTGAATATAAACAACTAATATTTAACTTGTGCTAAACAGAACAAACAAACTCCAAACAAAATTGAAATTATAGTGTGATAGATTTTGGAGCTGTGAAAGGAAAGATCACCACCCATTTACAGGACAAACTAAGGCACACAGTGACTTCCTTAGAGACATTAAGGAAACATGAGGCTGAAACAGGAGGTCAGCTCAGATATCAGAGTTGCAGCCCAGAACATAACTTCAGATAATGATTCATCAGCTGTTATTTGTTTTAAAGTAGCCTGCTATTTTTAATCTGTCTAAGGATAAAGGAGATACTTTTCTTAGCAATACCTACTTCAAAAGATCTATAATATTCTGACACTGAGAAATGTGTAACAGAATGGAAGGCTCTGGAAAACATATTTATCTGTATCACTATGAAGCTGTTCTTCATAGAAGTTCTGCTTGAAAAGCAGCTTCTTTTACAAATCAATATAAAAATAAGTTGTTGGTAATCCCCAATAAGGCACTTATGAGCTGGACTTGATCCTTGTGGGTCCCTTCCAATTCAGAATGAATGGTACTGTGAAAAGTGAATGGAAAATAGATCCCCAAAAGACAGAAGAACAACAGAAAAGCTTAGCTGAAACAAAGACAACTTTCTACACCTGTCACAACTCCAGACCTGAGGTTCAGCTGAGGATGAATCTCAAAAATTAATATTTATTCTTTGAAGGATAAGGTGGTTTATGTTGAGAAACATGGCTGTACTGAGAAAAGGGTCATGAAGTTAAAATAACATCTTTGCTTCCCCACTTTGATGTCCTGCAACCCAAATAAACACTGTACACTTGAAAAGAAAAGGTGTATAAGTCCATCAATCTTTTTCACCTAAGGACTAATTTACAAACATGGTAGATATCCTAACAATATAACTATCACAACCCTTGATCTACACAAGGCAAGATGTACACTGGCATTTCCAGGAAACTTTCAAATTACTCAAAAGTCTCAAACTCTGAAGTGGTGAGACTTGACAGAAATAAATATCTTACAGATATTTTGGATTTGCTATGTTAAACAGCTAAAATATTCTTGGTGACTACATGCCCCACAAAACCTCTCAAATTCCTCAGTGGGATTTTCTTACAATCCATTTCATGTGTCTGCTTTGAGAATCACACACTTTCACACTTTCATTTGTAACTAAGTATTTGTAAAGATTTTTAAATATTTAAATTGTGTTTTCTGTTTCCAGATGAGAAGGGGAATATTGACTGTAAAACAAGAAAGTAGAGCTAGAGAAGATAAAAGTAACCAGAAGACAAATGGTTCTATAAAATTAAATTAGGATAAAACTACTACTAATAACAAAATTCTTCTGCATTGTTTCTTCACGGAAGCCCACGAGCAGTCAGGATTTTTGACAGTGCAAATACAAGTCTACCAAGCCTTGGGAATTTCTGGATGCAGCTTTTTAAAAGAAAACCCAACTTTAATTAGGATTAAGAGAAATCTTAGCTCTACTTAACACAGTGCAACTGCAATTTTATTCCATTTCATGTTACATTAGCTTTCCTGAATGCTAACATGCATTTGCTGCTATCCATCTCCCTAATGGAGATGCCCAATAAAATACAAAAGATACCAAATGAAGATACTGTATCATCCTGTGGAGAAGCAAGACTTTATTTAAAGCCTTGAAAGTGTAAAAGCAGCACACATAGCATAGTTAAAAAACCCCAAGCTTGTATGGGAAAAATTCCACTAGTTAGATAAAACAATAAAACACACATTTGAAATCCTCAGCTGAATCTTTCTTTAAACACGTTTTAAACTTTTTTTGGTGCGCCAGAATGCGCCTTGATTCTTGCCAGAATTTGTCCTGATATTTTTTCTTTCTGAATCATAACATTTTGCTCAACAGCCCGTGTTTTGTTCTTTTCGCAGTACATAAAATTAATACCCTCCTGCCATCTAGTGGCTAAAAAACAAAAACCCGGCGCCAAACACGGCCGGCATATTTAATCCAAAACTTCTTCCAACTCTCTTCCCCACGGGACAGTTTTTCTCACCAACATTAGGTAAGTATTAGCACTTTTCCAGAGAGAAGGAAATGTGTAGAAGATAATTCCCCTAAATTGTTGAGGTGTCAGAAGAATCTGCCCATCCTGGCTTGTTCTAAGCCTCGTGGACTCCTTGGTAAAGCAGCCTCAGACTTCTCAGAGAGAAATAAGCTGCAGTGAGTATGATTTTAATTTACTTCTAGTTACTGCTCTGACATGGTAGATCTCCAGTCACAGCCAGAGAAAGGCAAGCTGAAGCTGTGAAGCTACTGGAAACAGCTGGTCTTTCTGCACAGCTTTGAATTTAGATTCTCACTGCACTGTTCTCTCGAATTAAAATTAATGTGCTCATTTAACATCACAGATTACTTGTTTTCCTATTGAGCTTGCATATGTTAAGCAATAGCACATGAAATTCAGTGAAGAATTTAATTGAGAATACTGCACAACTGGTAAAGACTGGGTTGATAAAAAAAGAAGCGACAATAAAATCTAGAGTAGTCACTCTAAAGTTTTCTAGATACCTTATTTAAGATGTATTACTTCATACTGCCAAAATAAAACTTTAGCAATCAAGACAGAGAGCCACACTGGTTCAAGTAAATGTAAATCTACCCTGGTATCTGGCACTGACTAGAAATGAGTCCGAAGAAAGCAAGCAAGCAAGAGAAAATGGATACAGAATACATTGTCACAGAGATCTGACTTAGGAACATCTCCACCAAAGATGTTAACATCTGGAATTTCCTTCCACACGTATATTTAATCTCTTCTGAACTTACCTAAAATCCTCACAACTGCAAATCCTCTGGCTTTAGGTTCTATAGTGACATTCTGCTCTGTGTTACAGTTACACCTTTAGAATTGTTTTAAACCTACTGCGTGAACTTTTCATTGGATATCTCCTAGATCTCCTTGTGAGGCACAAAGAATGATCATTCTCTCTCCACTTTTTCCTTTATTACAATCATAGTTTTAGATCAGATCCCATCTTCCTTTATCCTCTCACATTACTCTCCTATCTTCCTTCTGGCCAAAGAGCTTTGGTTTCTGTAGGACAAAGACTTTGTCACCGTGCTTGGATTTTTAAGAACTTAACTGTCAAGCACCTCATTCCTCTTTTACTTTCTCCAAGAAACTGGTAGATTTCTCAAATGCAATTTTTTCTACAAAATCTAAGTTGGATTCTCTCAATTACCTCATGTTTAATCTGAGCAATTTTTCACTTATGAAGAAAAATGTTGCAAATTGCATCTTCAAGGAGTTCCCAAAAGATGAATGCCTCAAACTGATGACTAGCCAAATTATTAAAAAAAATTCTCATAGAAAAAAGTCATAAAAATGCTGATTATTACCTTTTCTTTGGAAATTATTAACTTTGAGATGCATAATTTAATAATAGTATTAGCATATCACCTCTTATAAAGAAGACCAAATCAAATATCAAAATACACATTTTATAAAGTTGAAAAGAAACCTTTGAAAAATACTTGACAAGATTTAGAAACAAATGTTACATTTGTCTATTTGTTAAAATTAATAATACACATGCACATCATGAAACATATTTGAGGAATGATTAGACAGAGAAAGTACAGTGATTTGCTTCACAGCACATCAAAAGTCTTCTAAGACTAATGCATCTTCACTTCTCTCACAAATTTGTTACCCCTATTAAACTCATAGAATAAGCAGCAAAAAATCAAAGTATATTAGCCATGTAGTCTCTGAATTATACTGCTCACTTTAATGTAAATTTCCAATAGTAAAAAAAATCAAAACCACTCTGCAAATGCATTAGACTTTGCATTAAATATCTCTTGGAAAATCTCACTAAATCCAATGTGAAGTAGCCATTTGCTGACATTCAGTAATATTTCTGGACTTTGCATGTTCATTTTTAATCTTTTGCATTTCCAATCACATTTATCCAGTGTTTTCAGGAGTACAGACAAGCAGTAAATAGTTCCTGCTTCCTACTGATTTAACAAAAGTAAGCTTATGCTTCAGTGAGACTACTGTGCTTTAAAATGAAAGGCTTTTAATGTGTTCTGTGAGGGGTTACATCTTTAGACTTGGTGAGGATTCTTTGTGCTACAACCTAGATGGCACATCCAGGCTTTAAAGTAACTTAGACAGTCAGCAGGGGATTCCAGTGATGCTGGAGATTAGCTGAGCTGAGCGCAGTAAAATAGATAATTAATGGCATATTCAATTCCCAGCTCCACCAAAGGCCAATGCTTAAGATGTGGGACTATAATTGATGCTAAATGAACTTGGTGGTCTCTTAGCTGCCAAATAAAATTTATGGGTGATATTATAGGTTTCCTTATAGGGAGATACTATAAAGAAATGCTTTAGGGTACAGACCAGATACATTAAATTCATACAACATAAACCACCTTTCTATCCAGACCATCAATAACATTGTGGACATGGCAAACTGAACACCAAATCAAGACTTTTTATGTGTCTTTGATTAAAAGGGTACCATGGCAGCTGATACAACAAGAACAGGAGTATGAGTAGGAACTTACTTTCCAAAAAGTGAGAACCTGCTGCTTCTGTCTGGCCTTGCATCAACTGCATCAGAGCCATCCTCATCACCTTCCTCTCCAGCAGGGAGATCACCACGCTGATCCTCTGACATCTACCAATAAAAGTACAAGAATGTAAGCGTCCCTCGGCGAGCGCTGACATTTTAGAAATACTTCTGTGAACCAGGTTGTTTATGGTCTGGTTTATAGAAGACACATGTGAGGGGTTCAGTCAGTTTTATTGTATAATACTTCCTCAAGAAGGAGCGGCTACAGATTTCTGGTCCTGACTTGCTGGGGTGTTGCACATGTTCAGCCATCTCTATTTTCTTGTGGCAGTTACTTAAAGGAACTCGTCTAATACCACTCTCAAAAATGTAGATTACAGCAAAATTAAAAATAATTTTATGGTGAAAAAATCACAGAATCATAGAATACAACTGTAAAATAGAATCACAATATTCTGAGTTGTAAGGGACCCCCTGGGATCATCAAAGTCTAACACCTGGCCTACACAGGGTAGTCCCAAGGATCCTGCCATGTGCCCGAGTCCACTGTCCACATCAGAGATGTAATTCCCACAAAGTTTTCTTTCTATGGTTTGGAAAGAAGTATATTGAGATGAAAGCAAGGTGTTTTTATTTTCATGTACCCAGTCAAATGTGTGTAAGTCCTGTGTATTTTCCATGGGTGGCTATAATTTAATCACTAAGCAGTTGGGAAACGACCAGAAGAAAGGACAGCACAAGGATCTGCACCAGCTCAGCAGAGAAGCTTGGGGCAGGACCTTCACTCAGGGTGGGATGCACTGAAACATCTGCTCTCTGGTTCCAGATTTTCATCAGGAAATCAGCCGTCATTCCTGCCCCTTCCCCATAGTTAAGCAGATTAAATTTGCTTTTACCATCCATTTTCTGAGAAGGCCACGCGTTTTCATCGAAAACCACCCCGGACACCAGGCAGCAGCGCCAGCTCAGAGGCCACCAGGGCTCCACGGCTGCACCACCTGCCCGGGGAGCGGGGCGCTGCCAGAGCTTCGGGAGCTGCCCAGAGCAAGGAGCTGCCCAGAGTTAAGAGCTGTCCAGAGTTAAGAGCAGCTCGCAAAGCCGGGTCTAGGCTCGGCTTTGACAAGCCCAGAGCACAGCGCAGGCAGAGCGCGCAGGCCGCGGGCGGGAGCTGTGAGGGAAGCGGGCCCAGGCTCAGCAGGAGTGCACAGGGAGGAGAGCGGGGCAGGGGCCGGGCAGCGGGCCCGGGAGAGCCGGGGGGGCAGGGGAAGGCCTGCGGAGGGCCTGGGACTTGCCTTGGTCCTGGGTCCGGCCGGGCGGGAGCGAAAGCGAAACTTAAAGCGAAACTTAAAGCGAAAGCGGCCGGCGGTGCCCCCGGGGCGGCGCCGGGGCGGGGCGGGCTCCGCTGGCGTGTCCCCATCCCTGTCCCCATCCCCGATCCCTTCCTTGACCCTTGTCCCCGTCCCCATCCCCGTTCCCTTCCCTGATCCTTGTCCCCGTTCCCATCCCTGACCCCATCCCTGTCCCCATCCCCCCGGCAGAGGGTCTCGGGCACAGCCCCGGGCCCTCCTCGCTCCTCAGGCAATGACGGCCACATCACAGCGGAACCGAAATTACCACTTTTTAATAGCTGTGCTCCGGCACACCCCCGCAAAAGAAGAGCCGAAAGTTTCATGGTGACACGAGATTGTCTAGATCTAAGGAAATTTTTCCCCTTATATAAACTTCAGTGGCATTTCCTTATCCTCCCAATTATTCTGCATGTTGCATCTCTGCTAATTACGACGTCCCACTGGGTAGCCGTAGCATCAGGCCCAGCAGTCCAGTTTGTGGACTGAAGATTGGCACAGTCTTGCTAATTACTCCTGGATGCAGGCTCCGATCCTGCAAAATCATACACCTACCCAGCGGTGCGTGGTGTTTAACATTCACTACCTGAAGAGATTTACATCAAAGAGACATTTTTCAGTGTAACTGCCTCCTAATTGGCACAAAACACAGGCACGGTAACAAACAGGCTTTTGCTTCCCGACAGGTCAGTGCCTCGATGTGATGGAGGAGCTCTTGCCGTGTCTGCACGCTGCTGCTGGGACTGCTCCCTGCTTCCTGGGATTGTGCCTGTGGCTCCTGGCTGGATGCTTAGCCAAAGTTTTCTCCTAAAAATCAAACTGAGAGAATCCCATCGTTCCTCTCATGCCATCTGTTAGCTGCTTCTTTTCAAGAAGACAGCATCGCTTCCAAATTTATAATGTGATCCACCATGGATAGCAGAGACATTGGAAATGGATGGAGAGGGAGAGCTTGTTTTCAGTATGGAGAAAATTAGAAATATAGTAGAAATAGAAGGAAGTACCTTGCTTCAGGGCATGGAGTTGTTGCCACCTAGGAAAGGGTCAGGAAGGGAAAAAATTCTTACGTAGAACATGCAGCTGCAGGATGAAAATGGGGAGTGCCTTTGGGAAACTGAAAGGTGGATGGTACAAACTAGAAGGCTCGAGGCAACTGAGTAGTACCTGTCTGGAATAATAACTGTGTCCTGTGTTCTGCACAACATCTATTGTGCAGAAAACAAGGCTGGGGTTTTGTGAGACCTGGGAGAAGTTGTGGGGATACTTTTAGGATGGAGGATTTAAGTGACACACAATGAGTTCCCTTCTAAACAACAGTGGTTAGCTTTCCATGTATTTTGCAAGAAAGGATGGATGGTTTTGATATGCTGCAAGGAATATGAGGGTAGGGCAGGGTGACTGGGCACGCCACAACTTAATGGAATTCTGCAGAATAATGCATCTCAGTTGGTTTGATGCATGGGTTTGTTGGGATTTCTCTGTAATCAGGCAGAGATGATCTGTTGCACACACTATATTTTATGAGTTTTAAACTTGAGTCTTATTTGTGTTATGATACACAACAAATGGGTATATTTGGACAGTGGTTCTCATGTGGGCTATGCTCTACATGCTTTTCACACTTTTCTTCAAGCTTTTAGCTTAGATTGTAGCACATCCTTACCAGTGCTTTCTCTGCTCTGTAACAGTGATATCTTCTTGGCCCCTTGGTTGTTTTTTCTATTTCTCTCTTACTTTTTCTCACTCTGTTAGAAGCATTTGCAAAATCCCTACACTCACAGGTTTTTCTGACACTGGCAACAAGGAAAAAGTGTAAGCATAAACCCTTTAATCATGAAATGTAAACAGTTGTTGGCTGGTTTCTATAACAGCAAAAATGGAAAAAGCAACTGTACAAGAAGTTGGTCCTTAGGAGTTTTTATTCAAATCTTGGGAGATTTTGGTGTTGATAAATCTTTTCCAGTTTTCTTTCAATATTTTTTCCAAGCTGGATTTGCTACTATGCTGAATTTGATTAGCATGGAGAGACTGTATGAGGCAAAAGGCCTTGAGCCCAGGTAACTAATTAACCACAGGGTTCAGAGAAGGTGAACACAGATAAGGCTGGCTGAGTGCTTGAAATTTTACAGGCAGCTTTTACCAGTGGATAAAACTCCCCCTTTGTGTAGTGAACCAGCACCTTTGGGGCTTTTTTGTAAACAGAGGGAAGATAGGCTTGCCATAATTTGTGCTGTCTGGCTTCCTGTTCTTCATGTGGTTGGAAGGGCGCAGTTTCAATTCAGGAGTGACAGAGGAGATGACCCCGACTTGAGGGTCTCTAAAGAGGTTACTTTGTGTAACTAATATGCGCTTTTTTACAATCAGATTGATGATGCAGATGTGCTTCAAGTTTTCTGTGCAGTTAATTCACTGAATTTAAGGAGGCTGGAGAGGTAACAATGTTTCTTCCCACTAATTTGCACTTTCAAGGTACTGTCTCCTTGTACTTTATGTGTAACCACAGTACTTTTAAACCACATTGATTAAGGTTCTACTGTTAAGTAAAGCCTTTTAAGATTTTCCTTGATATCAAAAAGCCTTTATGAGGCCTTACTAAAGGAGGAAAAAAGCCACAATGAGCTTTTAACTGAAGAGAAAATGTCTTGCTAAGATTTGTCAAGATAACAAACTTGCACTGGTTTTGTGATTTAATTCCTTGCATGATCAAAATGCAGTGCGTACTTTGTAATGAGACCATTCAATGTTTATTTTTTAATAAACTCCCTTTTCTGTTATAGCTTGGCTTTAATCCAGGGTGGTGAAGAACAGGACAGTTTTGGGGTCCTCAGAAATGGGAAAATCTTTAAGAGACACCAGCAGAACTGGTGCTCAATGGATGTGAGTGGAATAGTGTGGCTGGGAAAGAGAGTAGCTGTAGAGGACATTGTGCCTTACCACACTTCTCTTGAGCATGCTGTGACTTGGGAGAAGCAGGAGAACTTGGAAAATGCATTTGCTGACTTCCAGCCAAGCTGGTAGTATTTATCACTGTGAAAAGAGAAAAGCAGGCTTTGTATATCTTGAAATGAAGTAGGATTTGTTTGTGAAATAAAGGGCTTTACCTGTCTGAGAGGCCTCTTGGAAGGAACACATGATCTCATTCCCTTCAGGGATGTCTGTATGCTCTGTGGGTGATGATGCATGCTGGAGTCCTCTCCAGATGATCAGTGTTCAGGTGACTCCTGGATGAATTATTTGTTCAGTAATTGCCAAGCCTTTATGGTTTTGTGTGGTTCAGGGATGTCCTTCTTTCACCACCTCTCTGAACTCGTTTCAGGAGAGTCTTAGGCAAAGCAGGGACAGGAGCAGGTCATGCACCCTTATTCTTGCTGAAGTGTGGGACAAGGGCTCCAGCATGGCTTCAGACAGCACGGAGACAAAGACTGTCTAGAAAATCTACAGTATGGTGACTCTTGGAGAAGATGAACACAAAGAGGAGACAACTGGTAGTGTGCCAAGTGCTAAATAAGGAAGGGACCACCCGGCCAGTGTGACCCTAATACAGGTCACTTGCATAAACAGAATGGCAATCTGGGACAAGATGCAAAGCTGTATAAGAAGGGAACTGGAAGCCTTCCAAACTATTTTGGTTCACAGGTGTGAGCAGGATAAATATTATTGTGATGTAACTTGGTCGACATAAGTCTCTCTTGATCCCAAAAAGAATAACATGAGGTAATTCAGCAGTTATTTTAATGTAAGAAATTATGTTCTGGGGACATTTTTAAAAAATGAAAATGCATCTGTTTATATACTGATATTAGTTACTTTGAAAGGCCTTAAGTGTTTCCAGGACTTTGTGCCACTGCTCTTCAGATTAGAGACTCTATTTTTGGCACACCAGTTGCTGACAGTACATTGTGCCAGTACATTGTCAGCATTCAGTAAAAGTAGCAATAATAAGTTAAGCAGAACTGCATATCTCAATAGAGAGATGAATAGGAGGCTCTCTAAGCATACCCAGAAGGTTTAGACAGAAATTATTTTGATGGAATTATTTGCAATTTATAGAAAAGGAAAGTGCTCAGCAGTATCCCAGGACTGCTGCAGGTAGTGGGGCAGATGCATGGATGGCTAAGTAGACTTTTACTCAGATTGAGATAACTCTTAGCTGTGTCCCAGGGTTATGGAGCCCTGCAGCTGGAGGTATTATGATTTGGTGAGATGTAAATCTTAAATCCTGACCATTTGTAGTTGGTAGAATTTAATAGCTTCTTTTGTTCAGAGCAGGCTTCACAACCCTAATAGCTTGCTTGAATCCTAATATCAGACATTCCTTATCATTTTTTGGTGAAGGAATTTTTATATTCTGATCTATTCCAGTCTGCTCTTGGTGAACACTGTTAAATAGCTGCTTTGTTCATTCAATTCAAAAGTAAATGGTTCTTTTCTGAAGTTTTTCCTATAGGAGATAGAAGTTTGGATTCGTACCCATCATGTTTAGAACTCTTTGAGATAAGAGGCTCTGCCTCTTTCACAGTGCATCCTCCTACACCTGGAGATGGAGTGACAGGTGGATGAAAGAAGAAGATATGAGAAAAGAGTGTGCTCTGCTCTGCTGATGTAATATACAGGGTGAAACTGAGCTGGCACTGAGAGAAAAAAATTAATGACTTTTTCTGGCAGTGAATTTCTACATCCACCCAAGGGCCAGGAAGTTTCATACCCATCTCTGACCTGTATCTCTGGTGGTTCCTCCTTCTGCTATGAGGCTGCTCCTAAATACACAATACTCCCCCGTGAGGTCACTTGTTTATCGGGGTGAGGAGAAATTAATGGTAAATTGCTGCTGCTGTACGTACTTTTCATCCTGGGCTTAGGACAGCAAAACTGAAATACAAAATGATCGGGCTCTAACATTCACATGGATGTGATTTGTTTCTGTGAGTTCATTCTTCTATTTAGAGAAAGATATTGCTACCCTCCCTTCTGCACTGACACAGTTGCCAAAATAACCGCTCTTACTAACTGGCAGCTTTAAAAGCCAGCCTGCAGCTGACTTTGAAACAGAAGGTCAGCAAAGGGAGCAACAGACTTCAATTCAGAGCTTTAATGGGAGCCATTGACCACAGCAAAAGGCCTTGACTGGAGTGTCTAGAGTGTGCTTTGCACAGGCCAAAAAGTCACTTTCATATTCTTTGAACCTTTTGTATAAACCTATATATTTTTCACTCTGTGGATTTCAAGATGAATGTGCAGCCGTGTGCTAGATGTGGCTATGGGGTTTACCCTGCTGAGAAGATTAACTGTATAGATCAGGTCAGTTCTCTTTCTTTATCATTTTGGACTATAATAAATGTACAGATTGGCACTTTTAACACTGTGCAAATCTCTCAGTTCCAAAAGTTCTTTGCTCGTAACTGGGATCAGAACTGAAATGAACTAATCACATGTATATATTTGAAGAAAAAAATAGTCAAATTCATTAAATGGATGGTAAGAATCAATAGTGAGATTTTAAACTTAGCAGAATAATAATAATAATGAAATACAAATCATGTCTGTTTGGTTTCTGTTTTGTGACATTTCCAGACATGGCATAAAGCCTGTTTTCACTGTGAAGTATGCAAGATGATGTTAACAGTAAACAACTTTGTTAGCCATGAGAAAAAGCCTTACTGTCAAGCGTAAGTGTGTTTCCATTTCCTTTTTTTTTTTTAAGCAGAGGTTTACTTTGCCTAGTCATTTTAACATAATGGAAGATCACTGTTTGGACTCAGTCTGTCCCATGTGTGATGTGAAATTAGTTATTGTCTAAGGCACCTATAATAAGTGCTTTTATGCATATCTTTGGATTTACGTGAATCACAAGTAATGGGAAACTCTTTTTACCATTTTTTACCAAATCTTCTTCATTTGGCCAGTGTGCTAAAATATACCAAATGAAGGTCCTTTTTAGTATTGTGGGAAGGAAATAAAGCCAAACACAAATTTTAGTGTTTTCCAAATCAGTGGTTAAGAGTTAACAACGCTGAGCTAATCATAAGGAAAATGTATAAAATGCAGATTTTGGTGTTGGTTTGTTCTAGGAAGTTTTTATTTTATAATGATCAATTCCTGTCAAATTTTTCAGCAGAAAAAGGAGAGATGACAGTTGTTTTTTATTCTATTATTCTCTTTTGTTATTAGAAACACAGCATTGATATGATGATCATTAAAATTAATTTTGCTCTAGGCGCCTACTCCCTACAATAATAACTTGAGTGTAATCTAAAATCTCTGTGTGAGTGGGGGAAAAGTTGTGTATAGAGAGGTGGAGGTTGATATTGTGTTTTTGAGTGCTTGACGAGAACCTTTCTGGTGGGCTGGGTTTAAATGTGTTTGTTCCACATTTTGATAACATACTTATGGCTCTTGTTTTGTAAGTATAAATATGTGGTTTTTACTTACTTTCCTGTGTTCTTTTAGATCAGTAAGATCTCAGCTGCGTTTGAATCATAATTTTTTTCAATATTATTAGTCATGTGAAATAAATCTTAGATCTGGATTTGCTTTTGCTCTCAGAAGGAAAAACTGATTGGAGCTCCTCACCTGTATATCTGATAATCTATACAGAAGCACAGTTCGCCTGAACTGCTCAGAGCTGTGTAAACTTAGTGACTAAGCAGGGTTGCACAACCTCTGGAAGCAATAACAACACGCTTTGTGATCTCATCAGAACCCGTACCAAACAACAGATAAATTATAACTAGGTGGGGCTCAGGCAGAAGTTCTGTTTTTACCTTGTCGAGTATTCCCGCCGGACCCGAGGCGGGAGAGGGCCGGGTCGGGGGAGCTTTGCAGGGTTTTTCGGGAGGTTTTTTGGGGATGGAGGCGCTGCCACCCTGCGGGCGCTGCGGTTCCGAGTGCGGCCGCCAGGGGCGCTCAGGGGCCGCGGTCATGGCCAGCGCCGCCCCGGGATGTCCCGCAGCGCTTCCCTCCAGACCCAGCACCCACAAACCCGCACTTCCAAAACTCTGGGGAAAGAAAAAATACAAGGAACGACCAATAATCGATGGCTATCTCACTTCTCTGCTTAATGCTGTGTCTTTGAACGTCGCGTCTTTCTATACTCCAAAATAACATTACTCATCAATTATTTCACAGGCAAAGCAGTGTGTTCTGATGTGATTAGCCATCACTAAAATTAACAAAGGCGGTTGTATTTCTTAGATTATGGCATGCTAAATTCATAAATGTCCTGTATTAGCATCAAAAACTTGATGCACATGAATAGCCTTTGTCAGACACTGTATCACTTATCATTTTGTACAGCATTCTTATGCCTCAGTTTTTGCAGTATCATGGGCTGTAACAATTTCAGCAATGACTGTCTCACTTACTTTAAACTGTGTGTGACGCATCTGCTCAGGAATGAGTTTGGTATTACTGCAGGTTCTATTTCTGGTTTAGGCAGTGATATGAGACTGATACTTCCAGTGCATGTGAGTACACAAACCAGAGAAATTATAGCTCAAAGATCACTTTCCCTTGTTTTATACACCTTAAACACCTTCTGCCCTTTTCAATCACATAATGAGGTTCTGTTCCAGAGAGAAAATTGCTAAGGGTAGTAAAGAAGCTGATTCTGCAGTACCTGCTTAAAGGAAGTACTTCTGTAAAAGTTTTGAGAGCAGGAAAATATTTCACTAGTAAACATATAAAATAATAATAACTTGGGAAAGTTTCACCTGCTACTATGAAGGTCTGCTGTTTTTATATTTAAGTTTATTTCTGATGCAGAAAATAGAATGTTTCTTCAATCCCAACATGATGTTCTCACATAAGTCTTATGTTGAGACATCAGCTGGAATGCAGAGATAAAAATTAGGTCTCTCTATACAGAATTTTTGTGTTAGCAGGCAAATCAATCAGCTCTCTGCACCTCTGTGCTTAATTTATAAATGGGAATAATGGTGCACGTGCTCAGTGACATTTCTGTCCAGTCAGTTTAAACTTCCTACTCTGAGTTTTTACATCTGAAGAGTGAGTTCTATAACAGAGCTGTGATTTCAGTTGGATTTCTACATGCTATCATGATAAAAGTGGCAGTAGGAACATAATGATCCAGGACTAAATATAGTAGTCATTTACATATGCACAGTTAGGATATGACACTGTGCAGGGAAATAGGAGAGTAGAATATTGCTCATTGGTAATAGTTTTTTCATCTAATGCATTGACACATCCTGCTTAAAATTTCTTAGGGATTTCAATTCTCATAGATTATTTTCCCCAAAGTATTATCTAAAGATCAAATTATTCTTTCAGAATGTCATTCCAGGTTTCAGGTGTAATATGCTTTACATATTTCCTTTATAGATGTGCAGCTCCTGTTCTGGCAGAAATCTTAGGTAGAGCTGGGTGTGGAGTAGAAAGCAGAGTTTTGGCCTTAGGGCTAAATGCAATCATCACCTTTTTTTATCCCCCCTCTCATTCTTCTCCAAAGGGGGCGTATGTTAGGAAGCACTAGCAAACTACTAAAATGAGTATTTTTTAATCTTTTTTCTTTTAGATAAAATATCGAGAAGAGAGTGAACAATTCAAATCAGTCTTCCAGTGGGATGCAAGGTCCAGAGAAATTGAAAGTGTCTATAAAGCCCAACAGCTGGCTACCCAGGTATGAAATATCCCTCCCAAACCAGCAGCCTGCAGGAAAGCAAGGACTGGCCCTGGCGGTCCTGATTGTTAGGGGTTTAACCACCACAATTCAATGATAAAAAAAAATACTTTGCTTATCATTTGGCTAAACTTTTCAAGGTGAAATAGCTCAATTATAGCTTAAGAGAGAAGAATCAGAAGGTGAGGAAGGAAGAGTGTGTCTAGAGTCAGCTGTTGGGGCTGCTGCATGTACAGCCATACTCTATGTGTCTTCTCTCTACTGGCACTGGAGTTTCACAGCAGGTGATCTGATCCCCAGGGGGTGTTGTTTGAGTTTCACTCCAGGATCCTAGATCCTGTCATCTTGATGTCAGTTCTTGCTATACAAGTTCTGCCTTGGCACTCTGAAGGGATGTGGAATGTAGGCCTTGTGCTATACAATTTCACTTCCACAGAACTGTATGTTTCTTTTTTTTTTTTTTTTTTTTCCTGTCAGATCAGCTGTTTGAGTGTTAAAACCAGGGTGAAGATAGGTAGTTATTTAGTTTTTGTTTTGTAGAATGCTTACTATGCTGCCTATGAGGAAGGAAAATCGTGGTACCCAGGAACAATCCCAGATCCTGAGATGGTCAAGATAACACAGGCACAGAAGGCTCTGAGTGATGTAAGTGGACTGATATTTGGCATTATTTTCATGGTCTATCATATTCTGAAGACTTACAAATGCATCAAAAGCCAGTCCTTGGTAAAATGTCACCTCCAGCCTTTGCAGGAAGAATATCTGGAGGGTCTGCCTACACTCTTATCCTTGTTAGGATTTTGCCAAAGCAGAGACTGACATGTTTATTTCTGTCAACAATACTTAGCCATGTAAGTGCTTAAAGTCACTTAAGAGTTCTATTGCCATCATGCATTTATGTATTTATGTAGCTCAGAATCACTTCAACTGCTGACCAAACAGGTGATCTGATCCAGCAGGAAGTGCTCTTTCTCTCAGTAGAGCAGAACTCATGATGGAAAATAAGTCATATTTTCCACCTACCAGACATTTCATTGGCTGAATTTCCATGACTGATGAAAATCACCTCTGAACTGACTGTATCCATGCACTGGGTTAGTGACCGAATCAATATAGGCAATTAACAGTGGATAATTGATACAAATGAGAAATATTTTCTGTTGTATGTAGGAAATAGTTGTAACTAGCAAACTTATAAAGTGTAAGTTCTTTAATTTATTTATTTTAAAATAAAGTGATACATACCTTTAGGAATCACATTATAAGTCACATGGGGTTTTAATTATATTTTACACCTCTGAATTTGTAGAATCCTGGGTTCAGGCCATTCACTTGAGATGTTAGATTCTATGGTGGATATTTGTTATACTGCTACAAAGTGAGAAAATGTTAACATGATGCAGAAAACAGGGATAATAAACTACTTGGCCTGGGAAGACAATTATATAGAATAAATTACAATGTAGATATTTCCTGGAAAATGTAGCAACTTTTGCCATAATTTTTCACAACCTGAAAAAGATTCTGACTTGCTCAGAAATGTTCTTTAATTCATTACCTTTGCTTTCACATTATGGCTTTTTTAATCTAATTATTTACATTTGACATTTTTCACTTTAGTATTTGAAATCAAATAGCTGTAATATTGAAATTAATTCATATGCAAGCTACTTTAAATTTATGCACAGAAAATTGATTATTTATTAAAAGAACAATTTACATGAAAAAGATAAGTAAAAATAAATCCCATAAAAATAATTTTAAAGTATTGCATTGCTTTCTGCAGATACTATCTACATTGTCACTGCAGTGTGATCTTGGGACATTAATGACTATTCTCATGGTATTTTAATCAGATGTATGGCTCCCATAAATCAATTGAAAATTTGAATATCTGGGTCCATTTCTGTCTGTTGCTGGTATTCAGCTTAAGAAAATTGGGCCTTGAATATATTGTAGCTTGACTGTGGAGAGTGAAGAGTGTCATGACTGCTGTTGCTCTTTATCCCTTGAAGCCTTCTGATAAGAAATATACTTTTGCTGCTTATTGTTTGTAATATGGATATATATGTTTTCCTCTTCAGGTGGAATATAAGCGTGGAAGATATGAACACAAAGAAAAACAAAAAAAATAATATTTTAAAGGCAGACTCCTTTTACCATTGAGCATTTAATTCTCTCAGTTACAAAGATCACATTCGATTTGAGGCCATTTTAAGCTATCAGAACAGAAGCTGAGGAACCAATCTGTTCCATACCCAGCAAGTGGCTGCCATGCAAAGTAAGGAAAGAAACTGCCTGACTAATGTAAATAGAACAAGCATCTTGCAGACACCTAAAGTACTTTCTTTAAACAAGCCTTTTCATCCTACACCCTGAGCAAGACAAAGGGGCCATGCAGAAGATGTGTGATTGTGTAGTTAAAGACCAAATTGCAAAGATTCAGACTCTGTGGTTCATCTTCCTTTTGGCAGATGACAGCCATCGAATGCCTGACTTTGCAACTTTAAAGATTGATTTTGTGTGCAATCAAGATACATTTGCTCTAATTGCTCCTGAACTGTCTTGAATTTTTACAGTTGAAATACACAGAAGACTTTGAAGAACGGAAGGGAAAAGGCAGCTTTCCTGCTATGATCACTCCAGCTTATCAAATAGCCAAGAGAGCAAATGAATTAGCCAGTGATGTAAGTGTCTAAAGCAAAATCTCTTTTGGGGAAGAAAATATTAAACTATCACACAAATTTTAAATGAAAACATACTGGCAGCAATTCCATGAACATGGCATACTGATCTTTACTGGCTTTCTTTTCCTTTCCAAACATAACAAAATCACAACACCCCTGTACTCTTTAATAAACACCATAAAAGAACATCAGTATTCTTTCAAAGTGTACAGTTAATTGTGCTTTGTTATTGGAAACTGAAAGAAAAGCTCTTTTTGTTGGAGAAGATAACATATGGAAGAACATATAACTCAAAGGAACTGAATTTAAAACATTGTTAAGAGTCAATGAGGAAAATAAGAGATCTGTAATTTTGAAGGTAAAAGCAACTGACTCTAAAACAATTACATGCCTTTGTTTGCCTTTGATCTATGGAAAATCCTTCACTTTTGTCAGCAAACACACATGGTGATTAAAGGGCAGCATCAGGTTACAGGCATTGTTTTGACTTAAGTAAATGTAGTGCAAATCTTGGTCTGAACTTGAAGGTTGATTGCCTAAAATTCACTTTATCACTGAAGATAAAGCATCTTTCAGAAACAAACCCATTTATTGATGGGGTTCAGATGACCCTGTGGTAAAAGTGTGCTCTGTGGTAAATGTGAATTTGAATTACAATCAGTTCTACTTTTTTAAACTGCTGGAGCACTGGGTATTAGCCACTGTCAAGCAGGTGGTGCTGAACACACTGAACCAAGGGTCTGGGTTGAAATGGTGAGTCCCACATTCCTAGTGCATTATTAAAAATACACCACTAGTTCTGTTTCTATATTGTCAAGCGGGCATATTTGACTTGTGCAGGTTGGTGGCAGTGGGAATTTTGACAATCCTTTATTGACAACATGTGCATGTCATTGGTTGTTATTTATTGTGCAGCATCTGTGTACCAAACTAAACTCACCCGGATTATTCGTTTCCTTTTTTCCTGTTAGGTAAAGTATCATCAAAGATATGAAAAAGAGATCAAGGGAAAAGCCAGCCATACAGCTGGAACAGATGTTGCTTTTGCAAGAGAAAATGTAGATCAATATGGACAGGTAGGCAACATCCAAGAGATAGCCATGCTGATGTTGATCATTACTGCAGCTGATTGCTCAAGGCTTTAGAAACTGGTGACACCTATTTTCACTTTGTTTTCCTGTGTGAAAAAACAAGGTCTCAAGGGGAAGGATGGTGGGCAAACAGCACTGTGCTCCTAAAGCGTCATGTATCTGTCACTGGCACCTAAAGATGAGACTACAGGGTGGCTGCACTGTCACTGCATGATCTTTATGGTGGGGCCATTCCTAAAGACTGACCTTGGCAAATTTTATCTGTGCACGTATGCACTATACATTTCTATTGTGGTGTTGTTACGTGTCACACTGAAATGTGCTTACTCAAGGAAATATTCCCATTCCATGAACAAGGAAATTCAGTCAGGAGAAATATGAAAGGGCTGTGAATTGGTAGAAAGTTGGCAGATAGCTAGGTGTCTTTTTACTGTGGGTATTTTCACAAATCTTAGGAGCTTTGCAGCTCTAAATATGTGTTAGCAGCACTGAATCTCTTAGATACACAATCTCTTGGATTTCACCTCTTCTACAAAAGGGGTATTATAAGCCTGATAAGCTGTAGTTCTGTATTTGTGGAACCAAATAGGCTTTAGTTCTATTTGGTCAGTGGCATTCATTTTGCTTATGTTTCATTTTTTAGGGAATACAATTGGTTTTGTGGTCACCCAAAATGCACCCAAAGTTATATTCCATTTAGGTTAGGGAGATAGCACAGATAAATACACCTGAATGCAGCTAAATGGAATTTGAAAGGAATTGAATAGTGTTGCTGCATAAAGAAAACTGTATGGTTGATCTCAGGGGTTTTTGTCCTGCTCCTCAGTAGCTCCATATCCTTTGGAGAAATGAAGGAACAGGGGCTGTATTTTCCTAAATCCTTTGGTATTTTACTTTTCTTCACTTCTGTCCAAATCTACATTTAGTATTCTGTGGAAAGCAAACCATCCTTGAAGAATATGAGTTTAGAATTGTAGCAATGAAGCCTTCAATTAGTTCTGTCTTTTGAACTACTACAAGTTTTAATAGGAATAAACAAATAAAATGAATTTGAAAAAGCACTAATTACATTTCCAAGCATTAGAATGTTTCTGTTTTAGAATTAATTTAAATTTTCTTTCTTTGAAAGTACCTTTGAAACTTCAGTCATGGACTTCAAATTCAATTTTAGTTTTAATCTTTATAGATTGGATACTGATATTAGTAGTCAAATAACACAGAGTCACTGAAATTAATGTATCTTTCTGAGTAAATTGTGACTTAACATGGGTAAAGGGATTAGATTTCTAACTGTTGAGATCATCAGCAATGAATTGACTGTGCATCAGACATATATATAGATATAGACATATATATGTACATGCATATTTATATATACAACACGAGAAAAGTTAAGGAATCTTACTGTAAAATTCCTGTGGTGAACATCTGTTTTGTTCATGTTTAAAAAACTTAAGAGTGACTAAAATAGTTTTCCAAAACTTTGAATATATGCAAAATATTAGAAATTACATTAAAATGTATTTAAGAGGGAAGCAAAAAACAAGCTAGTCTGGAGAATTCAAACCCTTTAATGGCATTTTAAGAAAATAACTAAGGTGATTAATCAACTATATTTTTTCTTTTCTATGCCTATTTATAGAACAATTTAATGCCATCGTAACTATGGCATCACATTGTTCACAGACTTGTGGCGTGACCTATTTTAAAACATGACATTGATGGTGCACAAAATGGCCTACAAGTGGATGGTTTTGCATTGAGAACACACAAAAGAGATATCCCAGATATTTGTAGACCTATCTGTACTCTCCATGGCATTCTTGACATGCATTCTATTCATGGCACATTCTATTTTCACTCAAACTGCCTCTTTACTACAAAAGATTTACAAAATACTGCAGAGAAGACACATTACACTTTATCTCACTTGTTTGTGTTCTTGTTTGTACTCCATTTCCCCCTGAGATTTTGTCATAGAAGGCTTTGGGAGGATTATCGTCCATTACAATTAAAAAAAAACCCTCCAGTATTTTGCTGTTAAAAAATCTAAATGGCTTTCAAATTGTCAAATATTTACACATGACCTTATCTGTAGATGGATTTAAGTGTGTTGCTTCCACAACAATTCGTTTTTGTTTTTTAATCAGACAAATGGAATTTTGTGATTTTGTTCACTAAGGAGTTTGGTATTTTGATATCTAGGTGTCTCTGCTACATTTATTAATCCTTCTTCAAAATACATCACTGCACTGGAGAGCTATTATTTTTGGTCAATTATGATGTGAAAAATGACCATGGAAAGATCAAAAGAGCTTCTGTAACACCACAAAGTTAACATTAAACTTGTTAACTTTAAGCAAGTCTCCTGGCTAACCAAACCATTAGCTATTTTTATAATATTCCAGGGGAACATGTATTGACAAACACAGAGGAAGCAGATATCATCTCTGTAAGAGATGAGGTGAGATCAGAAGGGTATATGTCATTGTACACTTGAATGTCATCTTGACCACAGCTAACAGCTACCTAAATTTCTCTTGGAATGCAGGTAGCTTCAGAGGCATAGGTAATATAACAGGTCAATTTATTCTTAAATTTCAGTCATTTTTTCATTTTAAAAAAATAAAAATTATTGAATCCATGAAACTCCCTACGAACAAGGATTGTCAGGCTTTGTAAAATAACCCATGGCCCTACCTGCTCATGTGTGATGAGTAAACACTCTGAATTTTCTTCAGGGATATATGGATGAGTTTGAGGAACGCAGAGGGAAAGGAAGCTTTCCTGCTATGATCACTCCGGCTTATCAAAATGCCAAGAAAGCAAATGAATTGGCAAGTGATGTAAGTATGAAACCTGAATCAATACAATTCATAAACAATTAAAACCAGCAGTTTGTCAGAGCAGTGCCTGGGAGGAGAATGCTAAAACTGCACTTGAGAAGTAAACAAAAGTGACATTTCTCTGCATTGCTGGGAACTGGATGGCTCAGGGGATTAATAATATCCATTAATAGAAGGGGGCACAGCTTCAACTTGCATGAGGGAGGAGATGGATGTAGCAACTAATGGGGATCCCTACTGTTAGGTTAACCCTCCTGGCAAATCTGCACCTGTATTATTAATGAAACCTTCAACTGCCTTAATCATCCTGTGGACTACTGTGGTATTCCCAGTAGTGAATAAATGGAGGATGAATGAACTGTACTGGTTTTGATATTTTGATGTATCACGCCTCTAGCACAAAGCAAGTCATATGGAGGAGGTGAAGCATAAAGTATGACACTGTCACTTCACAGAAGTGAGCTTATTTCTGGGATGTGATTTTTGGTTTTGGGTGGTAAACTAAAGAATTGGCAAAGAGGTGGGGGTGTGTGATTCCTGCATCCAGCCCATCCATTAGAGGGCCTCATCCCTTTTTGGGGAGACCATTTCTGGCAGTGACAAAAAATGGGTCAGTCTGTAAGTCAGTACCCTGTGGCTGCTCCGAAGGGTTCCTGTGAGTGACAACTTTTGTAGTGTGGACACCTGTCCCCGACGGGGCTGTCTGAGCTGATGAGCTCAGTCTGTCTTCTGGAGAGCTAACAGATGGTTGAGTCTTTCAGCTTGTATTAGTCTGGACTAGACATGAGCAATAAACTGGAGTGAAAGGATCAGTCATGTTCTGTTACCGGAGCTTATCATTGAGAGAATATAAAACACCTCAAATCCTCTGTGACCAATCCCAGTTTGATGACAAACTCAGTGGTCCCCTGTTTAAACATGAAATATTTAACCTTTCCAGATAAAGATCACAGTTTCATAGGTTAGGTTTTGAAAATGCTAATGGTCAGTGGTTTCTTCATTAATTTACAATACATAGAGTGAAGAGGAGGATTGGTTCATGGCAGTAACATTTGCACACTACACTACTTACCAACCTGCCTTATAGTTCCAAAGCCTGAGGAAATGTGTGCAGACTTGAAAAAATGAAAAAAAATATTGTAAAATAAAAAAAAAAAAAAACCACTTTGCAATTCAGTTAATGTAAAATAATTTATAAAAATCCAGGTACTACCTCTCTTCACCCATCCAAGTCCAAATTATGTTAATAACCTGATGTCTAAATTAAATTTAGAAATCCCTTATTTCAGTCTTGATTTTGTAGAATCAAGGGAATTATAATTCCTTCCTAATTATAAAACCTTCAATAATGAATTCAATAATGAATTATAATTCCCTTGAACACACTAAGAGTACAAAAAAATACAGCTTTTTAAGCAAGCTGTTTTTTACAAAAGGAAAAGTTTGCAGAGGACTTGATGACTATCTGTAATTTTCTGACTAAAATTAAGGACCAAGGATTAACTTCGTTAATAGAAGAGCACACAAGCTCCAGCTAAGAATCTTCTAGTCATCTGTTCAAGCTATGAACAACAACCAGTGATGTTCAGTCCATGTCAAAAATTCATAAAAAATGCTATCTAGTAAAATGCCTTGAGAGGGACTGTGAAGGGCTATGGAGTTATATTTGGGTTATTCAAGGTAGTAAACACAGTGTTTCAGCTTGGCAAGTTCCATTTACTTATCAGAGAAAGCACAGGGAAGATATTATCCTGACTCATGGAGCCAGTCTAAATAGTAAGGATGAAAAGGTGCACATCTATTTTATAATTCTCCCTACTTCTTTTCAGATAAAATACAAGAAAGATCTTTCCAAGATGAAAGGTGCAGCTCACTTTCACTCCCTAACAGCTGAAGACAACTTGGTCCTTAAACAAGCCCAAAGTGTTAACAAGCTTGTCAGTGAGGTAAGGGCTTGAATCAATCTCTTAACAAGTTTGGGAGCAGCTCATACAAACATTTGTGTTTGATCAGTAAGGACTGCAAGTTAAAAGAAAGCTGTTGTTCTTACTGCATTGTACATAACAAAAATCATCTGTGTGTAGCACAGCAACTGGAGAGAAAAGCTCAAGAGCAGATCTTCAGGTGCTGCATTCTGGCCCTTCCAATCATCTGTATGAAAGTGTGGGGAATTAACCTCAGGAGAGTGATTCTAGTTCTGACCACATGGAGAATTGAATCCTGGAAAAAACCTTCCCCAAACCTGAATTGTACTTCTAGTATGATATTATGGTATAATGCTTTAGGATGAATTTGGTGTGTATCTTACAGTGTCTCAAAGGGTATTCTAATAATCAAAAAATAAGAACAGAGACAAAATTTATACCTGGTTATACATAAACCATAAAATATATAGCTGGTTATACAGATTTCTGTTTTCTTCCACTGTGTTAAAGACTACGACTCACTGATAATTGATTCTTTTTCTGCTTGGTAAGGGAAGATTGCAAGAGAATTCTCAGTAGATTCTGAATTATTAATTTATTTATAGTGTCATATCAGCTATAAAACTATTAATAAATGTGAGTTTCTAGAACTTCCCCATGGCAGTTTCAAAACTTATACTCTTGAGATGTCAAAGTATAAAACCTTCAATAATGAAAAACCCCTGGAAGTACGGCTGGAAGGGGCCTCCCAGGCCAACGATTCCTGGCTCCTGCTGGTTCGACACAGCATCGTATAATCCTCCTATTCCAATTTCTAGCCTACATTTATTCCTGTCCACTTCATTACCACTGTGTTTTGTGCTAGTGTTGCCCTTTAGTTTAAAAAGTTCTTCTCCCTGCATGGTTACTTTTCAAGAGGTTTACAAATACATCATTTTTCTTTCTCTCTGCCTTTGATTTCCTCGACTAAGCAAGCTGAGTTCCTCTCATCTCTGTCTTTCACTGCAGCTGTTACAGGCTGAGTACATGTTCCTTAAACAGGAATAACTGTAAGAGTGCAAAAGCTCTTGCTGAGGTCTTGCTGGAATCTGGTACATGGCACATTTGTACATGTTCATTTGCCCCACACCCACCTTAGATGTCTTTCTGTACACCTTCTTTGTATATCGTTGCTTTGTTAATAGTTTTTCTCCTGACACTGTCCTGTATACTTTGCAGAGGATGAAACTGTAGGTTTTTTTGCCTATAAAATAAGAACTGAATATATGAAATTTCTCTTCATATTAATTTTCATCATATGCCATCTGATGAAAACCAATTATCAAAATATCTGAACAGTGGGTCTGCCTAATAAAAAGTGTGTGAAGGAACTTAATAAACCAGATTAGGGGTTTACCATAGCTTCCCATTGTGCATTTTTGTCACTAAGGTGGAGTACAAGAAGGATCTTGGAAACAACAAAGGCTACAGCATGAATTACTGTGACACTCCACAATTCAAGAATATGAGCAAGATCTCAAAATTCACCAGTGATGTAAGTTTTCAGTTCTTTGTGTATAGCTGCTGGAATCACAGGTCACTGTGTATGCTTCAGATAAATGTGTGCTGGTAATGTGATAATAACTGATTTTAGCCTGTTCTTGTACAACATTTTTCCTAGTGTGTCCTGATGTATACCTGGGGCTCATTTTATTTAGGATTACCAAAAGAACCATTTGGAAGAGAGGTTACTAACCATGGACTGCTGATCTAGAGAAGTCAGTTATTGCTCTTGTCTGTCATGATTATTACTTATTTTATTGTGCATGTCCATTTCCTGACTAGTTAGGCAGAAGATACTTCACCAGAGTTCATGCTAGAGAGGAACATAATTACAGTGTGAAAATAAATAGTGTTAATAACTTTACCTCTTGTTTCTCATGAAATACAATTTGTTTCATACTGCCTCTTACCATTCTCTGAAATCCCAGAGGAGTAAATATTTTGCCATACAGTACAGATGGTGGAATAATCAATTTTTCTTGTCAAATCCCCCACTCTGGAGTTGGTGCACCAAAGATGCACCAGAACAATCCAGTTTTGTTAATTTTTGAATGCCTGAATATTGGCTCCCTGAGACTTTGTTCTAGTATTTATTTCTGATGAAATGCAGATGTATCTTCTTTTTGTGGCACTCAGATGATATGAAGAGCAAGTAAATGATATCTTGTAGAGCAAGAAACTCATGGAGAGTTTTAGCTTTTATTTTTTAAAGTACCAAGGCTGATGTGGACTAAGGAGTTCCTGTATTAGGGCAACACTAGTAGACCAGAGCTATAATAATTTGTGTCTCTGCTGTAAAATATAGAAACTCTGAAAAGCTGAAACTTTAGTAGAATGAGATGAAGGGTCACTATGTGGGTATTGGCATGGACAAGAAGATGCTCCATGCCATGAAAGTTGGCAGCTTGGCAAGCAATGTGAGTCCCTTTTAATCACACTTGTGTGGCTGTTGCCTCCTTGTTTTTCAGTTTTTCCAGAATTAAGTTGATAGAAAACTTTAGATCACACTGTACTGGGGATGTGATGGATAGATGTGTTAAGGGGAAATTCTGGAAACCCTTTAGTACTGTTTTATGGCTCACAGTGTAAGCTGTTACATGGCTGTTTTATGGCCCACTGTGGAAGAAGTTAAAATAAGAAATTTCAGTGATCTGGCAACATACTGAGATCCTTCAGTCTTCTTTTACATCAGTAGGATGCTGAAGGTTGTTTGCCACCACCCCCAGGGTCAGACCTTTGCTGAAAAAAACAGTCCTTAATGAAGATTTCTGGATTCCAATTTAATTTACTGGGTTAGTCAAGAAGCTATTTCATTACATACCATTCCTTCAAGTACATTATTTACAAATCTGTAAGAAGCTTGAGAACTAAGCAGAAAGATAAAAGAGATGTGTCATAGGTGGAAGTTAAGTTAATGCTCCCACTGTTGGCATTGGATTAATTGAGAAGCTGAAAAAGAATCAATTAGTGGCTAAACTATGCAAATAATTTCATTTTCTTTGTCACTCATGACATTGAACTTACTTTGTTTCTTGTATTTAATATTAATATTATTGTTTCTCCTTTCCTCTTGACTGATAATTATTCAAACAAATGACAGCTGAAAAAAAAAAAAAGAATGATTTTTTTTGTTCTCCTTGTGTTTCAGATAGCCTATAAGTCTGATTACAAACATGATGGTGTTGACTACAATTACCCAGCTACTCTCACTCCTTCATACCAGACAACGAGGAAGTTGGTCCCTTTGAAAGATGTAAATAATTTTATTTTTTTGTTTTTGTTTCTTTTCCCCTATGACTTGCATAGCTCATCATCTCTCTGTGGGAGAGATTGTGATAGATTGCATGTGTCAAATGATGATTTAATGGAAGGACCAAACAGCCATTGCTAACAAAGTTAAAGCAAAAAAGTGCAGTGTCAAGAGATCTCAGAGCAGTAGGAAGTACTGCCATGTCCTGCTGCTGGCTTCAGTTCAGCACAGGTTGTAGAGTGATGTGAAATCTGTGACTGCTGCCCTAGCCCAGCTCTGTGCTGCAGAAGTTCCACTGTCCTGGGGCAGCTTCCACAGCAGAAAAAGCACTGACAGCACTGAAAGGACAGGGGGGCTAAAACAGCCTTTGTGAATCCTTTGTGAATTCCCTGAGGACAGGGAATGTGTAGCTCCTTGGAGGGGAGCTGGTTGGTCACAAAACCATGCCAAGGAGGAGCCCCTGTGCCTGGGCTTGAGTTGCTGCTGGAGCAGTGTGAGGAGGTTTGTGTACTGCTGTGTCTGTGTGTGTCCTTCAGAGAAAGGAAGCCTGTACAGCTCATGGTGCTTTCGTCTCTCACAGGCTTGACTGATCTCCTCTACCCTGTGACTCAGTTAGGAGCACAGTCACCAGGCATTGCTTGTAAAATCATCAGGAGGAGAGCAGCAGCTCTGCAGGGCATTTCTGACTTCCTAAAGTTTATACACCCTGTCTTTATGCTGAAATTGCAATAAACCAGCAGCACTATGCTTTAGACAGATCATTAATATTATGTGAGATTTATCTGGGTCTAAACACCTCTTCCAAGACAAGGATGGCAGCATGAAGAGCTAGAAATTTGGAACCCTGGTGTTTTTGAGGAAGTATTTGGCATACTTCAGCTCTAAGATGAACTATTGCCTCTATAGCAAGTAATTTCAGCTTTGCCTTTGTAAAAGCTGAAAACAGTATAATTCAGTGCTTGATTGCTTACTCATGCTCTTAGAGAGTTTAAGGTAAGCATAAATTCATGTCCAAAATGTAAAAAACATTTCAGCAATTCCAGTGGCTTTACAATTGATAGTCAGCATCAGGATTTGAAACACGTAATTCCACTGGCCACAGAGACTCAGGTGCACCAGTCCTGATCTAGGATTTTGAATTAGTCCCAGGACTTGTGTGCTCCGAAATAACCAACATGCTTACTCAGAACTCTCTTTGGAATACAACTCCCTCATACGCTAAGAAATCACAAGTAGCAATAAATACATAGTTAAAAAGAAATGATCCCTTTCCATGGAATTAAAATTCTCTCTGTCTCTGAGGAAGCAAATGCGCTGTTTTAAGTACTTCGATCACTTTGGACCTGTGAGATAATTCAGGCCTTTTTTCCTAGCTTTTATCATTCTGGCAAAATGAGGAAGTTTATATGAGGATATGGGAGATAAGAAGGTTTGCATTGAAATAGTTTCAGTAACTCAAAGTCTCTAGAAATATGCTCCACTTTACTGGAAAGAAGTGTTCTTAAGGAACTAGTTTTAAGCAATGTGATTTGCAATGTTTGCAAAGTGGTGATTAACTACAGTGAATATTAATGAGGGCCTACAGAGAATAATAATTGTGTTTTGTAGTATAGCAATGAGTCCTTTTGCAGCAACAGGTTTGAAAGGAACCTTCATATGGGGTTTTTTTATCATGCATAATTTGGGGCTTGAACATATTTATTTAATAACTTATTTTTTTTGCTACCATATTAATGTGTTAGTAATTTAGTAGACTCCAGTTCTCTTCATGGATGACATTAAAATGACTTTTTTTTGGCACTGTAAGTAGGTATTTTTCTTTTTTCAACATCCACACAAAACTCTGACCAAAGAGGGAAATTCTGTGGTTAATTTATTACATTAAAACTCAGTAAACACCAAGTATAAGAGAGTTCATTTGTCAGTGGTACACTGGACAAACCTCTTCATAGACAGTTACAGTAATTCTTGTCTGATAAAGATAAAAATGGACAAAGTGATGGTTAAGAATATGAGTTTTATAGCAATGATTTTGTGGAATTTATAGCAGTGATTTGCAGCTATTGCTGCATCTTTGTAAGAATTTGTGGGTTTGACAGGAAGGGATTATAAGTGAAGTAATTTTCAGAGTGGAATAAAAACTGTGACCTCAGACAGGGAAGCTTTCAGAGCACTAACTCAGATCTCATTCAAGAGATCCGGAATTTTTCCTCAGCTCTATTTATTATGTTTCCTCAGCTCTATTTATTATGTTTAAGTATATATGGTTTAAGTAATATTAAGTAATATTTTATCCAGAGTATTAGTTATCAAAACTTCATCTATTCAATCTCTCATCTTCCAGTTTGACCATTTCTTCCTCTACTAATTTTTTTTTTTTTATTATTATTTTAAATTAGGTAAACTACAGGCAAAGCATAGACAAGCTGAAGTACAGCTCTGTTGCCAGCACACCACAAATTGCTCAAGCCAAAATAAATGCGCAGCAGCTCAGACCTAATACTTGTGTCCACTTTTAAGATTTGTATCAGTGTGCTTTTTTAAGAAATTATTTACTGTGTATTTATTAAGGGAAGGTTTAAATTTTATCTTTTGGGTTTAAAGATAATCAGTAGCTCTTTTATTTATAGAATAAGTTTCTACTTCCTAGTGCTTAAGTTAGCCTTATTGCCTTCATACTTGCATCACAAATTCTTATGTGTATTTATAATTTATGGCAACAATAACCTGAAATTTAACAGCAGTCAATTAGTCTAATGGTTATATTTTTACTAAGTTAAAAATAACTGAATTTCTTGCTGACCTTTTCAACACATGCAGTTGAACTACCGAGCCCAGTATGAGAAGACAAAAACAAATTACACTCTACCTCAGGATGTACCACTGTTAGTGAAAGCAAAAGCCAATGCTGAGTTATACAGTGAGGTAAGTCAAGCCTTGAGGAAATACTGGCATTCATGATGCTGTTTTTAGACTGAAATTAATATAAAGATGATGGCAGTCTTTCTGGAAGCATTTAGCATTTATCATTCGTCTTTGTACTAAACAACATGAATTATGGTACCCAGAATACACAGAGATCCAATTTCAAGGACATTGAAACCCTAGACATTTTTTTCCAAGATATTTTCAGATGATCTGAATTTCTTTAAATCAGTAAATCAGTATTCACTCCACAAAACTAACTGCTTCTGAGGTGACATTTTAATGAAGCAACAACATTTGCACAGCTCTAGTAATTCAAAGTCCAGTGAAGTCAGTTGGAAAGAAACAATGACTTCAGCCAACATGGATCAAGCCCACTGTTGCTCCATTCCTGGCAGGATTCCTGGCAATAAATAGTGATCAATTTAGAATCTTGTGGGTTAAAACCAAGTGCTTGCAGGAAAAGTTGAATTTCTATTTAATTTATAGAGTATTTTTCAGGCCTCCATTGTCATAGATAGTTTTGGAGGAAAAAGAACCCAAGACAAATAAGGGCAAAATGAGGAAAAAACCTCCAGATATTACTGGTGTGACTTTTATTTTTTAACCAGTTTCACGATTTTTCGTGGTGTTCAGTTGTCATTACTGCAAGTTTTTTGTGTCTTGTGTTCTTCCCCTAAGTTTTATTTAAGTTGCATTGGCAGAGTGTTGTGGAGGAACATTCTTTGTGACTGTAGATGTCAGGATGCATGCTCTTTGTTAGATACTGGTAAAATATAAACATGTAAATAGCCAAATCCAGAAACTGGGGTTTCCTGAAAACCTTCATTAGGCGCATGCAAGGTATGGATGAAGGCATACTTGATCTTGCTTTAATGGAATTTCAAGTGGAATATTAAAAAACAGCTTAAAAAAACTATTACTTTAAGTTCCTCTAACTTTCAGGAGTTAAATATGTGTTTCTCATGTGTTCCATCAGTGTTTGTGAGATAGTGAGTTCATGGGTGTGCTTTTGAAGACAATCTGCTGATCATAGGGGCTGCTTCACTGACCTCTGCTTCACACTGTGGGCTGGTCTCAGAGCACGCCAGCTGGATTCCTTTTGAACACTCTCCAGGAGCTCATGTAAAGAACTGCAGCTTCAAATTCAGTGCATAGGACTTGACTGATATAATTTGGGGATGGGAAAGAAAAATCCTGAATTGAGTGGTGTGTTTGGTTCTTAGCACTAACTGTTCTGCCTATGGATCAGCTCCTATAGATCTATACTATTTGCATAGGTAGACATAACCAGAGGCAATTTTGAAAAATCCTCCCTCCTGCATATCTGTCTGAAATTGAGAATTATTGATGGATGTTCTGGCACATTATGTGCTTGTGAACTCCAAGAATAAAATTTTGACTCAATGCTAGACAATTAATTAGCTGAAAAAGACAATGAACTATGACTTAAGAAGGCCCCAGTTTGTGGACTGAGCATATTTATGCTTCTGGTTTTTCTCTGAGTCATTTCCATGTTTGTTTGAAAATCCTGTGTGTTTATGAGTTAGTGACATATTGCTGTCTTTCCTTCCTCAGATTAAGTACAAAGAAGGCTGGGAGAAGAGTAAGGGCCGGGGCTTTGAAATAAAACTTGATTCTCTGCCTTTACTTGCTGCCAAAGCTTCAAGAGATCTTGCCAGTGATGTATGTTACATTTAGTTACCTGGGAATTACTCTTTGTATAAGTAGCTATAGCACAGGGAAATAAAGCATAGCTCGCTTCATCTGGATTTTTAAATCCTGCATTTGGCTGTCCATCTTTCTCAGTGGCTAATGAAGAGTTGGAAATTTTCTCAGATTCTGCTGTGAAATTTCACCCTCCAAAAATTATTTTTTTTAAAAATCATGTGTACAGGGTGAAGCAAAATTTACACAATAAACCCACAGTGAAATTCAGTGTTTTAAATTGTTTATAGCCTCAAAAATAGAATTATCATCTCCTACAAAGAGAATGCATATTTCTTTAGTCTGCTTCCTTAACATAAACACATGTATATAAAAAAAATTCCAAGCAAAATCTTTCTAAACAAGTTATATCAAGATTTTTAACCTGTGGAGATGCAGAAAAAGGAGACACTTTTTCTGCAGCTGGAAAGTATTCAGCAGTGGTGGGGATTCTAAAATCCCACCTCATTAAAAAATTCAAGCCTTGAATTCCTTGCTTGGATTGATTTCTTATCTTTGTTTTTAACAGCCAGATAATTTAGCTAATCAGAAGAATTAAAGTTTATAAGCATATTCACCTCAGAGGGCTGAGCCTTAAAGAATGAGGTTAAAGACCTCATAAATGAGGCTAACCTTGCATCTTTGTAATTTCTAAGAAAATCTGGGAAATTTGAAATGACAATGAGATAATGAGACTGAGCTCTTCTAAATTTTGACCATGCAAATCACCAGTTAAAAACATATTGCTTATCCCATAGGTAATTGGAAATAATCTTAGATTTATGCTGGTTTTTTGACAGATTAAATATAAAGAAGAATATGAAAGAACAAAAGGAAAAACAACTGAAACCAAGGACTCAAGACTTTTGCACTCTCTGAAGGTGGCCAAGATGAGTAGTGAGGTAAATTATTTCTCTTATTCAAAAGGTGGTTTTCATAATTAGGAAAATTTCAGCAAAACTATGTGATCTACCACTGTTACTGCTCTCACTGTAAGGAATTCTTGGAAGCATTTAACAAAATTAGCTTCCTTCACCATCTGTTAATCTGCAATGATTGCACAACAGGGGATTTTGGGCAATGGTGTCCTTATTTTGGGGCAGGAAAATAACAACGTGTTAAAACCTCAATATGAATAAAAGATCATCATATTAAAACCTCAGTATAAACTCTTCTACACAGAGCTTTCAAGTCTGTAAGGGTATGTTTAAAAGTGAGATGTACTGTAATAGGAAAATGTTTCTAGAATCTAGAAAATTTATCTTGCCATCTGTTTTGTCCCTTATAGGACCTGATTTCTACATGTGCTTGGGGTTTTTGCCTAATCTGTGTAAGGACCCAAACAAAAGGGGTGACTTAAGATAGCTTTGAAATATCTGACACAGACAATCTATTTAAATCCTCTTTCTAGATTGCCTACAAAAAAGGTTTTGAGGAGAGCAAGGCCAATTTCCACCTGCCCATGGATATGATAAACCTGAGGCATGCTAAGAAGGCTCAGGCACTTGCCAGTGACTTGGATTATAGAACCAGACTCCATGAGTACACAGTGCTCCCAGAAGATATGAAGACCAAGTGGGCAAAGAAGGCCTATGATCTCCAGAGTGATGTAAGATGATGTACACCCAGCTTAACCATTAAAAACAGTACAAGAGATTATAATTTTTTCTATTTAATATTAATTCTTGTTTCATATGAACACTGATTGTACTATGGCTTTTTAAAATGTCTTTGCAATGCCTTTGAAACTGGAAAGGGTGCACATGCTCACTTGCAAACATTATACTTGTGTTCCTTGTGTCAATAAATGTAATTTTCCTCTGCAGCTCCAATATAGGGCAGACCTGACATGGATGAAAGGAGCTGGATGTATCACAGAAGGAAGTCTTAATATACAACAAGCCAAAAAAGCAGGAGATTTAGTCAGTGAGGTAAGCAAAGTTCTTGGGCTTCTGTCTCTTGTTTGTTCAAAGGTTCGTTTACACTTATTCATTCCATTACATAATGTGGAATAGGTAAGGGATCCATAAGAAGGAATATCTAAGAAATGGAAAAACTGATGTGCATAATTTAGTTATTCTATAGTTTAGAAGATCCTGGGTTAGAGATTAAAATTATTCCCTTTGTATAATTATAAAAATAATCTATGAGGTAGAAATCTCTGTCGTTGTGCTTCCACCTCTTTTTGTTCTCCTGTTCATTTTGCAGATCAGCATTGAAATTCCATTTTCACATGCTGCATGATGTACAAAGAGGCTTTAAGGAGCAGTATTTAAAAATTAGATATTTGTTAGCCATAGTTGAAAATTTCCTTGCTCCTTGGCAAGTAGGAGCTGTGACTTTACTGACAGCTTCAGCTTTTCCTGCTTTTTATTGCTTTTGCTTTATTAATTCATGGCTTTGCACTGCCATTAACCTTATGGAAGTGAACTTTCTCAGCTTCTTAGCTATGGTTGAGCAGTCTCACTAGTGCTAGGAAAACTAGAGAACATAAAGAATAAATTGGGGGAAGTTTGACAAGAAGGATAAAATCCCACTTAGTTCTGGAAGGAGGAACAGAAGCCAGTTAGTTATTGGCGATCACACTCTCTGACACCTTGGGTCTCTGACACTCTCTCACTACTCTTACAAAGGGTAGAAAATACATCTCAGAAACAAAAGAAGAACAGCTACCTCAGATCTGGTGTCTTGCTACAGGTAGAGTGACATCTGCTTGTGAGGTGTGCTGTAGTAATAATCACTTCCACAAATATTTAATCCATAATGATCTGCCTTTTCATTCCAGTGCTGTGCAAGGCCAGGAGATGGCTGACAGTCACTTAAACTGGAGACTGGTGGATATTATTTTAGAGATCTCTGTTGCCATACAAAGCCTGGTGTTTTGTCATTTCTTTGCAGGATGTCACTACATTGTGTTCCATGCAATGTGACAAAACATGCTGTTTTTAATCTGCCTCCCTCCCTTCCAGGTTTCTAAAATAAAGCGATGAGCACCTCTTTGAAGTGCTGCGTGCTTTTTTAACTTCTGTTTTGTGTTCCCCTAGCAGAGACACAGTGTAAACTGATCTGTTCACCCATCAGTTCAAACAGAAGAATTTCTCTCCTGAAATGCCAGATAATGGAAAAAATGCATTTACACCCTTTCTAGGTGGAATGCCCCACTTGATGACTGTAGTGGTAGAATAAGAATTCAATTAAAGTGTACAAGAAGTGTTTGCTTGGTCTCCCCCTGTCACACTGAGGTCTTGAAACAGAGTCCTTCATTCCTTGTACTATCTCAAAGAAAGAAAGAAAGGATGCTTAGCTTGCTTTCAAATGAGTGGTGCCATAGGCTGAGGCAAAGACAATAATTTAAAACAGGTCTGTTCTAAAGCCTTATTAAGACAATTAAAGTTTTCCATTTGCTTCGGTGTGTTTCAGATGTAAAACAAAATGTAAAATGGAATGAAACTATGGACAGTCTTATTTACCAAACTAAAAATATTAGTCTCTATGCACATTTGTCTATTCAAATGGATTTTATGTAAATACTGGCACCAGAGGATGAATCAAGAACAATACCTTTTCCCATATCTGAGACTTGAACCTTGTGGAGGCCTCTAATAGCTGTTCATCCCAGAAAGGATTAACTGCAATGTCTATGCCTAGCTCTGCTTTGAAAAGAGGAAGATTTTGAGAGGATGGGGAAGATTTTGAGTTCAAGTTAATTTTCAGGACTCCAAAATTGCTTTCTCTAGTTTAATTATCATCTTAATAATTTAAAAATATCTCAGTAACATATGTTCAGTGATTTGAACCACCCTTGAATGTGCTTGAGAAGTCTCTTGTAAGGAAATGAGATAATAACACTGACTGTGTGGCTTATCAGCTCTCTTGGTCCTGACCTAAGTCACACTCAGGTTGTGAACACCACTTGCTGGTTGGTGTGCAACCTAGGTCCTGTAAGATATGTAGACAGCACATCTGGCACCAAATATATTCATGCCTGCAATGTCAGCAACAGTGCATTTGGCACACAGCTGTGCACTGCCCTCCTCACCTCAAAATATTGGCAGTGGGTAGTACTTGGAAGCTAATCTTGTTGGTACCTGTGTTAAAACTGTCTTGGGAATTTACAGGGCTCTTTTGGCTCTATCACTCATATATTTTTTAAAAGTGATACATTTTTGGGGGAGGGCAAGTACTGTAGAAAATTTTGTGTAACTTGCTTTCATTTGCTGTAGAAAAAGTACAGGCAGAAGGCTGATGCTCTGAAGTTCACCAGTGTGGCTGACAGTTCTCAGATCAAGCATGCCAAGAAAAGCCAGGAACTTCAAAGTGATGTGAGTCCTTGACTGAATTTGTCTCTTTGCAAACAGCTTAGGCATAATGTGGTCATTCCTGACATATGTACACCAGTGTGATGGTAAAAGAGCCCCCAGTCATGAAGACTTTCTATATATAAAGTTTCTTCAGATTCATTCTAACAGGTTTTATTTGTTTATTTGATTCATTTTCTCCTTGAATTCTTTGAACTAGAACAACAGCAACAAAAATCAAGCACCATTGAGAATGGGCTCCTGACTCTTGCTAGTTGTCTCTTGTGTGCTGGACAAGCTGCCTTTCTGTGTGTGATGAAATCAGAATAGTAACCATAGATTTAGAGCTTTATAGTAGGGACTTCTTTTTCTGTGGGATGTAAGAAATGCAACACTTTGTGAAATGAGGCATATTTTCATAGTTTTTGAACAGCTCTTCCAAGAACTTCATGGGCTAAAACAGAGCAGTTAATTTCTCTGCTGTTGTAGCCCTGGGATATAAAATGGGGATGATTTCTACTCGGATCATAAAAGGTCCTTGATGTTTTCATTCAAAGTTGTAATGTTAGTCCTCACTGGAGTATTGTGTCAGCAATTACATTTAGGTCACAAATGTTCTCTGAAGATTCACTTGCTTAGCGTTCTTCATTTCATGCCTACAATTCTCTATGTCCTATTAAAGACTTTCATTCTACCCAGGAAGTAGATGCCATTTAACATTGGGTAAAATATATTCTTGCATGCATTTTGTATAGAGTATGAATTGCTGTCAGCTTTATAGCTAGATAAGTAGCTAATTTTAGGAAATAAAATGAAAGTATCCTGACATATGTGCTGTTTCACTGCTTCCTTGAAATTTAACCATGAGCAGTTTGATCAACCTCCCTCTATAAGTCAGTTTTTACCTCCATATTTAACACAAAAGTTCAAGATGCTAAAGAATAATTTTCCCAAATAAGTTAACCCTTACAAATCCTTGAATATTTGGGGTGTTTTAACCAGTATTCCTTCAACATTAAATATAGACTACTGCTTGTTGACCCTGCTTTGCTTTCTGTGGACAGGTTGCCTATAGGTCAGGGAAAGAGCAGTTTCTTCATCAGTACACCATCAGCAAAGATGACCCTGTCTTCATGCTGGCCAAAGCAAATGCTGCCAATATCAGTGAGGTACTGTGTCATTCCCTCACTTCTGTGAATAGTTACAGCTGCTGTGAAATACTTGTTCTGTAGGCAAAGGTTATGTTCCTTCTCAGAGAATGTCCTCATGTTTTAGATATAAATACTTGAAATTTAATTCCATGCTCTTAATAAATCGTAATCACATCTGCTGTTCTGAAGACTTGCCACTTCTAGAGTTTGAAGCTGTGCCTTTTTCACATGCTTCCAGGTGAGTGGCACACTGACAATTTCACTGGAACCAGTGAGATATTGGGGTTTCAGTAACCACAGTGTCCACAGTTAAAGGGTGTAAAGGAAGAAACCAGGAGCTGATCTGTAGCCATGTTGCTTCTGGGCATGGAATGTAGAAAGGACTCATTACTTGAGAGCTTTCACTGTGAGTATAGAACAAATAGAATGGATTGATAGTAATAAAGAAACGATGCTGTTGTCTTCTCTTTAGAAGCTCTACAGGAGTAGCTGGGAGAAGCAGAAGGAAAAAGGATTTGTGCTTCGTTTGGATGCTTTGTCATTCCTGACAGCTAAGGCAAAGAGGGATCTGGCAAGTGATGTGAGTATGGACTCCATCAGCCTTCTTTTTCTTAGGACAGCTGACAGCCCAGGTTGCTGCTAGTGTTGGGGATGTGTCACATATGTTTCAGTGCCCTGAGCCATCCTCACTTGATTCATGCTAAGGAGCAATGGAGGAGTTGTCTGGGTGATTGGCATTCTGTAATTAGACAGAGGGTTTGCTCTGAGCAACTCAGAACTTTTCCCCACATGCTGACTGTGTTTTCCTATTCTCACTTTGACCTGAGGGTGAATTTTAGAACTCAAAATGAAATGGAAATCTCCTGTGAAACATCGTAACTTAATACATCTATGCCTGGCCAGAAAATTCCTGAAAGAACCTTCTGACCTCCATGCCTGAAGAATGTTGTTTTTGCTAGAGAGAACCAAAAAGAAAATATTTCTTGCAGGTTTTTGTAAACATATTATTATCAAGAAAGGACTTATTCTTTATAGACACTAATTTCTAAGGCATTCCAGTTCCCTTTTGCAAACCATCTTCTTACTTGCTTGTACTGAGGACCCAGCATGCCACACCACTGACAGACCATTGCTTTACTCCCAGTAGAGTTTTCAATTTGGCAGCTTAAATCTCTTACTCTTGGTCTGTTTTCTTCTTCACAGGTTAAATATAAGGAAGGTTATGAGAAGATGAAGGGTAAGCTCATTGGAGTAAAAGCTGTGGAGGAAGATTCGCAGATGGCTCATTCCCTGCAGATGTCAAAGCTGCAGAGTGATCTGGAGTACAAGAAAGCCTTTGAGGGCACAAAGAGTCAGTTCCAGATCCCCATGGATATGGTTAACCTTGTTCATGCCAAAAAGGCTCAGAATCTGGCCACAGATATAGGATACAAGACATCTCTCCATCAGTACACAGCCCTGCCTACTGACAGGAGGGTGGCATGGGCCAAGTGGGCCTACGGATTGCAAAGTGATGTAAGTCCAGAGCTCCACTTATTTCAATACCCTCTCATCCAGCCCTTTTTCAGCCCCACCTAGGGCTGACTTTCTTCAGACATTTATGCTTGTAATGCCATGACATCTTTATGCACCTAATTTTTCAGCTATTAAACAGTGAATATTACCAGTAAATATTAACCATTTATTTCCTCAAGAGATATATTTAAGTTGTACAGTGTTTTTGAGGAGGGTTATAACTCCTCATACAGGCATGGCTTCTTCAAAGCCTACTTCAAATGCTAATAAAACACTAGGATTCCTATATGATGTACATTTATTTTTGCTTCCTAATGTGCAGGGAGGTTAAATAATGTACGGTGCTAAAATTGGTGATAAAATTCCATATGGAGACCACATGTTCAGCTGTAACCGTCAGATGAACTGTCTGATACTGTAAACAGTTAAGTTAGACTTTCCATTCTGAGACTGTAAGTCTGAACTTTTCAGGGAAACTGAGATAGAAATGTGTGCTGGCCTTGTTGAGGTATGGCTGCTGAAACTTTTGTGACATCCCTGAGAAACCTGAGTTACAGCCAAGCATTTGAAATTCAGTACTGTTGCTAGGACAGATTTTGTGAGGAAAGTGAGAAGTGCTCCTGTACTCTTCTTCCTTAAAGAAGAAGATCATTCCTTTCCAAATGAAAAACTAAACAAAACAAAACACTTTCTCTCCAGTAAAACAAAAGGGTATGGCTTGGGAAATGCTACGTATCATTTTCTTTTTATTGCAAGTCATGAATGATCTTTTAAGGAGTGTTCTGTATACAATAAAACTGAAGTTATAGTAAAAATTGCAAATATCAGTAAGGTGTAGACCAGTTTTTAAAATTACCTTGCAAGGCATATTGCACGAGTGCTGGTGAATCCTTATACTTCTATTTCATTCTGTATTTTTTTCGTTTTCCTTGCAACTATGCAATAGTGAATAAAACAAAAGCAGGCGCTAATTTGACTTCATTGTTGTTCCAGAGATGTCTGAATCCTTTAATGGCATTTTAAGTGTATGAACACCAACAATAGGACATTTTCTTTCCTTTGTCAGAACCGATACAGAGCAGATTTGAACTGGATGAAAGGAGCTGGATGGATAGCCACTGGGTCATTAAATGTGGAACAGGCTAAGAAGGCAGGAGAACTCATTAGTGAGGTGAGATTTCATGACAGCATGTAACAGAATTTGCTGCATAATGCGTGCAAAATGTCTGTATAAAATTAAAATAATTTCCACTCAAAGGGGAAAGAAAAAGGCATACCACATGAAAGCCCTCAAAACCAGGGATAGGACTGGTAATTAGAGGGAAACCAGATACCAAACACATACCAGTAGGAGTCCATATAGCCTTTGCAAAAACAAAGTAGGTGACAAATGATATTATGAATAATAATGGCAATCAAACAGTGCTCAATTGCTACCCACTAGCCTACCTTTTTAATGAAGCAAAACAGGAGAGATGATGAAAAGATGGAGCCATTGGACCCAGAACTTTCTTTTGTAACAGATACACGTTTCCTTCTTGCTCATTTTTCATATATATTCATGCTAGCTATTGAAATTCATATAGATCTCTCTCTGCAGCTATCTATCAGCCCAAGTAGTTTTCATCCTTATTTCTCCCTAAACCAGTATCACTTAGAGGAGAAGGCAGACTCTAGAATACTTTGTGCCTGTCCCATGAGGCCTTCAAATGAAGTTCTGGTGGAAATGGTTAAAAGGTGCATAGTATTCTGTTTCTGTTATTTCAGAGGTAGTCCTGCTGGCCAAATCTGTTGTTGTAAGAGACTGAATCCTGTGATTTTTCAATAAGTATGATGCAGGAATCATGTGTCCATTCAGTCTGTGGTGTCTCAGAAAAGTACAGTCATCCTTGCACAACTGATTGCTGACACAGTTTTTTTCCCCATGAAATCATCCATTGTGAAGAAGGATGATTTTTGAGACACAATAAATGAGATCCTCAGCTAGTGTCAAGCAAGGTAGCTTTATAAAAACTGGTACAGTAATGCCATCTGGAATAGTAACTGTGAATCTGTGTAGGTATTCCATTTGGATATTACAGTAGTGAGAATAGCTGAGTAGAAACTTGACCCCCTGGATTGTTTATCTCAATCTTTTTGTGAGTACTAAGTAATGTTGGGTTTCTATGAGCCTTGTCATTTCTTACATATAGTGACTAGTCCTTCTAATAATATGCTGCAAAACAATTGCCAGCATAGAATCTCTAGACATTTTATGCAGAGGTGTTCTGGTCAACTCTGCTTTGTCTCCAAATCTGATTAAGACAAGGCATAAACCACTTTTGTTCCCTGTTAAACTCAGTAAGATTGCTCATTTTTAAGATATTATTTTTGGAAGCCAAAACATTACTTATAAGCTTATAATACTTTAAAGTGCTTATGTTTTATATTGGTATTTTTAGTCTTTGAAGGGTCAAGATGTTGCTTCAGATAAAATTATGTGGGTTGCAGCTCAGTTTAAAGGAAAATGACAAGCTATGAGTTTTTCTCAGGCATTTGGAAAATTTAGTATGTGCTATTTGGAGAAGTGGTAAGGGCATTGATGGATTTAAGACAACTCTTGCAGGAATGGAAGCTTTTAGTGACCTGGCCAAATGGAAAAAGTGTAATTTTTCCATTGAACTGGCTACACTTTAATTATGTATATATAACAAGACCAAGAAGATCTCAGAAGCTACTATGAGTCCTTAACAACAAGCAAAATTAATATAATTTTCTAGAAGATATGCCATAAAAATTAGGTACAGTTTCAAGGACTGCACAGATTTGCTGCAGGTTTAAGGAGGTAACCTAAACCCCTAAACAATAAGTTAAATAGCTGCCATTTTTAACAAACTACAATTGTCTATTATTTCTTTCTTAAAGGAACTATAAATTAAAAATACAATTGGTCATATTCTATTTGAAGTAATGTAGAAATGATTTTAAAATCCTGAGTTCTGGAGTATTTAGGTAAGCAGAACCTGATTTTGAAATATTTTTCCTATATTTAAAGATTAATATTAATTGGCAAAAGGTTATTGTTAAATTGAAACAAATATTAATCTGAAAGTACCTAGGACATAAAGATGAGGAAAGAGGAATAATAATTATGTTCACAAATTCACTCTAATCTCCAGCAACCTATGATTTTTCTCTTTCAAATAGCATGAAAGAGCAGCACAAAATTCACAGCTTTGATCTTTTTCTGCTCAACAGAAGAAGTACCGTCAGCATCCATATGCTTTGAAGTTTACCAGTATTAAAGACACTCCTGAGATGATCCAGGCTAGAATTAGTTATAACCAGGCTGTGGATGTAAGTTATAATGTATATACATTATGATTATAAGAGTGGTATCCTCTTTGAACGACCTGATTGAAGCACTGGCTTTCTCTCTCTTTCTTTCTCTGAGATTATCCTTGGAAACCGTGAAACTTCTGTATTCTGGTGTGGTGCATCCCACAAAGAGCATGTTTCTAACTTGGACTGGGAAGACATCCCACAGAAGTGAATTCGATTTTCATACAGAAAGAATTCTGTCCCATTTATTTTCAGAAGTAAAATTTAGGACTGAGACTGACCTTTGACCTTTAAAGAATTTTGGCCTTTTGATATTCATTAAGGAAGAACATGTTTGGGGTTCTTTCCCCTTTTCAAACAGATCTTTCAAATTTCAGTTTCTGCATATTCTTTGGAAACTAAATGTAAGGCAGCATGACAAGGAAGGAAAAATAAATTATTTCAAGCTGTCATCCTGCTGAGAGAGAAATCCAGGAGGGGAAACCTTAAAGGGAAGAATTGAGTCTGTTTGGTGTTTAAACATGTTTATTTTTAATAGAAGAGCGATTTAAAAATATTGTAGACTTAACTGGGATAATACAGAAGTGAATAATAAGCAAAAGTCACTCAAAAAAGACAAGTTTCAAACATGAGAGGATGTTTTATTGTGAAAATAGATATTTTTAAAGTGAAGGAGAAGATGAAAGACTTTGTGTAAAACACATGCTATTGTAATACTTTTGGTGTCTGTGCCTTTGGTTTAATTAATAAGATCCAAAAGGCTTACATCTCAGGCGGGATAAATATAAGTCATTTTGTTTCACTGAGCCACAGTCAAAATCAGTCTGGTGCTCTACTTCTTCACACATGGAGTTCTCATTAATTTTCCTCTTAGAGAGCTGCAGTACAAGTGGGCCCAGCTGCTAAAGAAGTGTCAGACAGGTGAAATGGAGGGGTCCATTCTAATCAAGAGGGTCTTGGACTCTCCTGCAGAAATAATAGCCTGGGAAAGGCAAGTCTGGGGCTCCAGATATGGGTCATCTCTAAGGCCAAAAAAAAGTGTGTGTCTGTTCCCATCTGAAAGTTATGGTGTCAATGTAAGAAGAAAACCAGGCTAGCAAAGAAAAATAATATGGAAAGGAGAACTCTGCATGGCCATTACAGGGGAAGTTCCAGTTCCAGTTAATTGCACAGAACTCCTCTTACCTGTCTGCAGACATCTGAAAATTATCTGGTCCTGGGCCAGCTCTGTGTTCTTCCTCCAAGGGTTGATGTGAGTGGCACACACAGACACCTCTTCTGTGATGGGATAAATCACCTTCTGAGGTGTTTAAACCTCTTCCCATTGACAATTGAGAACCCCTTTGTATCTAACTCTGGACAGAAATTTGGAGTAATTGCAAAGATAATTACCATCCCATTTATCTGCTAAAATTGAACACCTTTGGAGGAGTGTTTGGGGATCTTCAGCTCCCTGTATTTCAGTGGATTTTCAAAGTGTTAGTGGGCTAACTAACATTACTACTATCACTACTAATGAGTAGTGGGCTACTCATCACTACACACCCTCAATCACTACGGTTTATTTTTCTTCTCCCTGCTCACATATATTAGAAGTGATATCAAATTAATATTCAAATATCTGAATTTTCATATACATTAATTTACACACTCAAAACTTCAAGGAGCTCTTCTCTAGCATACTCTAGATGATAAGTGTATCAGACTCCCAAAGGCTTTTGAATCCCTTTTGACTGATACAATTACCTGTATTTATTAATGCCTCTGCTGCTTTTCTGTAGTGTTTGCTTTCCATAAACTTAATTGTTAATGTTTTTGTTTGAACTAATGATTGAACATTTAGAGAGTACTTGCTACTGAAATTCATCTCTGTTTGCAGAGGCTGTACAAGGAGCATGGAGAGAGTATAAAACATCAGTATACACCAACGACAGATCTTCCTGAAATCCTTCAGGCCAAATTAAATGCTATGAATATCAGTGAGGTATAAACCTGACCTTTAATATTTTAGAGGAAAGTGGAAATGTTGACAGTGCTTCTCTGTTTGTTCAAAACAGGAAATCATACTTTCTTTCCTTTCCCCAGTATATGATCATTCTATGGTCTAAATATTTCTGAAGTAATGTGGAAAACCAAACTTCTTATCCAACTTCACCTACTTTAGAAAATGAACAAGCAAATAGTCTTTTATAATGGACATTTGTCTTGCAATAATTCCTGTTGTGCATTGCCAGTTTCATTTGTGTTTGCCCTCTGCTTCAGAACAGAATGAAACTCATGTGGAAACATTTCTAGGGTCTCAATAATGCTGTGATGTCAACCCTCTGAACAGAAACTCTTCTTTACTTCTGTTCCATATTTCCTAGGCTCGTTACAAGGAGTCCTGGAGAAGGATGAAGGATGGTGGCTATCAGCTGAAACTGGATGCCATCCCCTTCCAGGCAGCAAAGGCTTCGAGTGCAATCATAAGTGATGTACGTGAACGTACTGCTGATATTGTCCAGTGGGACATGTCAGTCACTCCAGGCTGTATCTGCCCTGCTGAGTGGCTCTTGATGGAAACAGCATGTCCAGCCAGCTCTGCATCTGGGAGACATCTGGCCTTGGACTAGTTAGTGGTGCTTTTGGAGGTGCAGCTACAGTGAGGGGTTATTGGTAAATAAACAAAGGCAGGTTTGTGAAAGCAAAGATGAGCAGTTTACCTGCTGCAGTGACTGGACAGTCACAGAGATTGCAGTTGGGTGAGGTCTTCCTAGAACCCATTAAAACTTCATTCAGATTTATTTTCACACAGAATACTGTCAGAATGTACTGTATTATGAAAACACTTTCATTCAGATTTTAACAACTGGACTAATAATTCTCTTTACTCCTATTCACCTTTCTCTTCCTACTTCCTTTTTAGCACAAATATAAGGAGGCTTTTCAGAAAATGAAAGGGCAGATGGCTGGCTCATGTGGCCTGGATGGTGACATTCATATTGCTCATTCAGTCCATGCAACATCTCTGCAGAGTGATGTAAGTACAAGGAAAAGATGGCATTCTTGAATTGATTTCCTAACGGAGCAGTTCATCAAGGAAGATGCATTTGGCTGTGGACTAGCTGTGGAATAGCCTACTTATTTAAAACTTAGGGCTTTATGTCCCACTTTCCAGATATTTTAATATAATCGTGATATCCTTGCCATCCTTCTACATTATTTACAGTAACATTAATTTGACTGTAAAAGAAGCCTGTGTTCTAGCACACTCCCCTGCTTCATACCACTGCTGCCTATCACAGAATATTTTACTCTGTGAAAGCACCACTCAGAGGCAGGTATAATTGAGAATTAGCAAGTAAATTAAATTAGTTATTCAGTGTTTATTTTCAATTGATTTTTTTTCTGAAAGACCAAAGGATGAATGAGTTTATGGAATTTCAAGTTGGACTTTTTTGGCTGGGGAAAGACCATGTTCCCACCTGGTCTTGACATGTGCTAAGAATCACATAATTTGTTATTTGCTTATAAGAATTGTAACTTTCCAGTGCATTTTGAAGACTGTGGTTTGATCCAGAAAGAAGTGAAATATATGAGAGGGTGTTCATGGTTCTCAGAAGTGCTGGTCTTGTAGTAATGGCAGGCTCAGACAAACAGGTAATAGAAAGTGTCTGAAGGATTCATACATCTGTCAGGTTACCCTAAGTCATTTGATGACCACCAAAAACTGTGGATGTTCATTATCCTGATGAACAGCCTGAACATACCAAATTTGTATAATCTGACTGAGAAATGTGAAAAATGAAAAAGATTTCTGCACTGTTCTTCTCCTGGACAGAGACAAGAAGTAGAAAAAAAAAAAAAAGAACAACCCAGCACTAAATATTAGTCTAATATTATGAAACTAAACTGGCCAAATCAACAAATATTTTGACCCAAGAGTTTGTTCTAATTCTAATATAAATAAGGCTGCTTGCATGTTTTACTCAGGCAGCAGCTGCTTCTTTGTGTGGCACTTTCTAAAAATGAAGTGAATTAGGACTTCTCTTGCCGGTTTGCTGAATTTTATAGATTCAATGTATCAAGTTTTAAGAAGAAACTAACTAATCTCATCTTAATTCAACATAATATAGATGGCTACTTTTTGATGAAGAACAGGCTGCCACATACTCTAATTATAATTATTGATCTTTCACAGTATGGTTAAACAAGTTAGGGAACTTATTTTAAAAAGAATAATTTATACTGCAAAATGGAAGAAATATGAGGAACGTCTCTTCTGATCAAAACCTGAATTTTAATTATTTTGCTGTGATATCTATGTGATCTGTTTCTCATTTGATAGGTGAAATACAAGCAAGGTTTTGAGGACACAAAGTCTCACTTCCACCTGCCACTGGATATGATACAGTTGGTCCATGCCAGGAGAGCCCAGTCGCTGGTGAGTGAGCAGGAATACAGGCAGCTGCTCCACCAGTACACGGCTTTGACTGACGACGTGAGGCTGCGCTGCGCCAAGAACGCCCACAAACTGCAGAGTGAGGTAATTGCAAATTGGAATTGGTAATTGAAAAATGTCCAGGGATATTTCTCTGCTGGCTCTGGTGCAAGACAGTCCTGCTCCAACTCATGGCAGCTGGCAGCATGTGATTGAGCAGCAGCTGAGGAATAAACAATGTCTGTTCCCCCTTGATTAAATGGAATGAGACATTTATCTTACTGGGCAGTGGAACAATGTGTTGACCATGATACACCAGAGATAAAGTCCAGTAGTCTTTGATGATTGGGTAGGAAAGGGTTTGCAAGTGAGGATGATTGGTAAAAATACCCTTTTTAAGGTCTTTCTAACCATGCAAACCCTTTACCAACTGGTATTTACAACTTGGTTTGGATCTGGGTGAAATTTCATGTGTACTCTCACAAGACAGATTTGATTTGTAAGACACTTACAAACTCCAGTCCAAGATATAGCTACTTAAATTCTAAGGATAAGCTTAACTCCCTACCTAGTCTTGAGTAAAATTAACTAAATAATGCCTTACAAATCTGTAGGCAGAGCCTTGAGCAAAGGGCTTTTCATAGATCACACTGCCCCTGCAGACCTCAGGAGGGGCTGTATCTTAAAAACATACCTGGCCACAAAATGCTACTGTATATCACCTTAACACTTTCAGCCAACAGACTTAGAGGGGACAGACTGTGCCCAAACTAGTGCAACATCAGATGCCAGTTGTGTTACCTTAATTTGGGTGAAACACACAAAATCAGAGATTCTAAGGCAGGTTTCCATCCATTCTACTCCTCATCCTTCTCATTATCAAATGAAATAATATTGTTATAATCTATTCATCAGGAACCTATTGGTAATTTTTGAGAAATTAATATTTTCGGGGAGTCACTGCTAGGTTTGGTGGTCTGGAAAATGTTTTAATGAAGTATATGCAGTAGTTCAGTGCTACTTTTTGTTAGTGTTCTTTGCTTATATTATGACCATTCAGAACTGTTAAAAATCAAGGCTAATTTGTTTGCAGTTTATCTTACTTAAAAGAGAAAGGATGTTCTTAAATACTGGTCTTATTTAATGTACATTTATAAATCAATAAGATCTAGCTGTGATTTATGTATTATATATGAAGAAAATTCATGTACCTAGAAAAGTTTTTCCTGAGGTTACAAATGAAGTTGGGAGTTGAAGCAGGATTTGGTGTTCATGAGCCTCAGCAGTCCTCAGAATCCTGCATCGGTGCTGTAGATCTGTTAGGGCTGTATTCACACAGACACATCCATAAACACAAGATCTTAGGGCAATGTGTACAAACTCTCTGTGGTAGATACTAATTTTAATGGATTTATTGTATATTTTTGGGTGAATAAATATAGGGCATCTCAAATGCAAACTTGTAATTACTTCTGCTTGGTTTTCCTTAGAATTTGTATCGTTCTGACATGAACTTTATGCGAGGCGTTGGATGTATTACCCCAGGGGCCCTGGAGATTGAAGGAAAGAAGAAAGCTTCTGAACTCATCAGCGAGGTAACAAAAGAGGGTTTTGATTTCTCCACTATGAACAAGAGTTTGCCAGATGTCTTTCTATTAGACTGGGCTGGCAAAGTGACTCACTGGATAATGCCAGACTCCCTCCCCTTGCGTTTGATCATTCCACTCGTGTCCTAACTGCAGATGGGTGAACCTGATGGAATTTTAGGCTTTGCAAACTTTGTTAACTTATTTTTCAAGTCTTTTCTCCAGTGTTCGAGACCCAGGAGGTGGTTATTTTATGCTATTTATTTAGGAATTTGAATGGGCTTTTTCAGCTAAAAATAAAGCTGTGCCTATCTGTAATAAGTACCTTGTACTATTTCTCCAAATATGGAATGAGCTGTGCAGTGCCCAGAATATTACAGGGTCCTCATCTCTACTACTTCACAGTCAGTCTGTTTTTCTTCTACTGTTTTTGTGTGCTATTGTTTTTTTGTATGTTATTGTTCTCTCTGTAACTGGACTTTCATCTTTCGTGTTCTCTTTGTACAGTCTCTCCTAGTTTCAAATCTTGCATCTTTTGCCCATATTCACATAGATGTGAAGTAAGGAAAAGTAGGAGTTGTGTTCTAGGGAACAAATCCCTGCTTGCAGTGTTCTCATAGTTGTTTTATTCACAATTCAGACATCAGGACACAGGCCAGGTGAAATCTTTTTTTTTTCTCATGAAAAAATCCAGTGGACTTGTGCAGCTCCTTCTCTCTCTGGACTGCATTGCCTTTGCTGTAATTCCACTACCCTGGGTTAATGACACCAAGGGATGAAATAACCTCATTACTGTTTTCAGCATATTCAGCACAGCAGCATCTTTCACGTCTTATTCCTTATTTACTTTTCATTTCCCCTGTGAGACTTGAATGCACCTAACTCAGAATAGCAAAAGGTAAATTAGTCTAAGGATTAATAGACAAACTAGAGTTTTAAGCACAAGAAGCAGTACTAGACCATTGGAACTGGAAAAAAAATCCCTTATTTGACAAGGCAATTTACTTATTCTGCTCATTTTTCTTTGTGTGTGAACTCAGAGTAAATATCGTCAGCAGCCACATTCCTTCAAGTACACATCGGTGACAGACTCTCCTGGCCTCCTTCATGCAAAATTCAGCAATATGATTGCTAATGAGGTAGGCTCTCCTAACGTGAATCAGAAAATACGCTTTTCAAAATGCAGCAAGCTGGGGATGGAGAGCTGGGAAAGAGACAACACTGTTCTGAAAGCAAAATGCATCAAAAAAAGTGAAAGCATCACTGATTTGTGCTTTTTGAAAGTTAGATAATTTTTTTTTTCTGTTTCCAAACATTTAATACCATGTTCAATTCAATTTCTTTCAAAAAGCTCACATAGTATCCATACAACAGAGTTCTATTATCAAGTTTTTTGCATGAAAAGGACTCAAAATTCAGGACTGTGGGGTGTTCTAGAGGGAGCTCATTTGCATAGTATGGATCACCTTTGAGGGCTTCCCAAAGAGCCTTTTCTTTTTTAGAAAAAAACCCCACTTTTCTAAATTCTTAAAACAAGACACAACCTATAAAAATATTATCAAAATAATATATAACAACCTGAAGAAAATATTCAAGCTAGAAAATATGCCCAGTCTACCAGAAATACTTGCCTTTTTATTTCACACACATTCATGATGCCCTTGACATTCTTAGGTCTACTTTTGCCCTACTTAGAATGTAGCAATGCAAGGCTGAGAACATAGTGGTTTGGGCATCATCATATATTTATAAAAATTAGTGTAAATGTCCTTCATGCCCAGCAAAAGCCCCACATCTTTATGTCCAGAAAAAAAACTTTGCAATTTCAATGATCTACTCAGCTGTTTTCAATGATGGCTGACTACAGTTGTCACAATCATTAACAACTTAAGTACTGCTGTTGTATAATTGGAACAAGAGAGAAAATGAATTTCAGTTGTCTCTTTGATCTCTTTCCTAGCGCCTGTATAAAGCAGCAGGAGAGGACAGTCGGCATCACTACACACCAACGCTGGGTCTGCCAGAGTTTACACGGGCAAGAATAAATGCAGCCAACCTCAGTGATGTAAGAATTTGCTCTGTATTTCTTGCAACCTATTTCAGATGCAGGATGAATTGTTCAGTGGCAAGGAAGATGGATAAGCAGAGGAAATTTGAGGTCTATTCTATTTATGCTTTCTCCTATTTGATTATAATGATATTTATCTCCATTAGCATATGTACGGTTGCGAGTAAATTAAATCTACATAAAGAACGAGACATGTTTTGTCTGAGTTAGTAGGATTTCCCAAAGATAATTTAAAAAAAAAAATCCTTTGATTATAAAGAATGAGACTGTAACACAGAATAACAAATGAAAGATGGTTCCTTTGTTTGTTCCTTTGTGCATTTAAAAGTAAAGCAGCAGTCTACATGTGCCTTTCCTACTTTAGGCAAAATACAGAGAATCTTGGCATAATCTACGTGCTCAAGGCTACAAGCTGACAATGGAAGCACTCCCGTTCCAGACTGCCAGGGCCTCCAGAGAAATTGCCAGTGATGTGAGTTGAATGATTCAACCTCCCTTCTTGCCTAATTTCTGTTAACTTCATGTAAAACAATGTCTAAAGCAGATTTTACTGAATTAAAGCAACTCCATAACCATGTGAGACAAGTGTGAGACAGAATATATTACTTATGAATGAGATTCTTTGTGTGAATTAGGAAAAAAAAGGAGAGGAAGAATCGCTGCTAATCGGGAACCAAGCCAGGTTAAACATCTTCCAGTGGGAAATAGCAAATGAATTAAAGTATTTGCAAACAGAAAAAAAGCAGGGATTCTGCTCTTTTTCAGTCTTTTAGCTCCTCATATTACAAAGTGCCCACTAAGTCTGTCCACTCTGTTTTGGGCCGACTTTTGGAAGTGTTTAGTGTTTCCAAATTGAAATGAAGTTAGAAAAAGCTGAAGGTTCTTTGAATCTCCAAAAATCAGGAGTTACCTGATTAGGAACTCCTAATCTCCTGGTCGGGTTAGGAAGTGAAAATCAGTGCAAATTTCTGTAAATATGTATCCCCTTAACTTCTAAAATAGAGAAAACAAGTCATCTTACTCTTATAAATCTCCCATTATTTGGATTGTTGTATGTTATATGTATGGTACCCATTTCTTAGAAAGCCTAAGTTCATCCCTCCTTCACAAGATTTTTAATAAATTCCAGGAAGATGGAAAAAGTCTTCATTTTGTGTAGTATTTTGTTGCATACTTCATCTCTAATGTGATAAAATATGAATATATTTCACATGTGTTTGTTTAATGAAGCAACCATTTCTAGTTGTAATTTATAATATGTACTTAACCATATTTTGCAGAGTACTTTTGGTTACAGCTTCAGATCTTCTCTAGAGGGTACAAATCCATAATAGAATTACATCCACTTACAACAAATCTGAATTTGGCCCTTCATCTTGGAAGCACTTTATAAACATTAGATGCTGTAATTTAATCCCTGCAACTCTCTTGTGTGGTAGATAAGTGTTATTATCCCATTTCAACTACATTATGAACTCTTCAGGGCCCAGGCCTTCCCTTTAAAGTTCTAAGCACCCTGTTGATGCTGTATAAATAAGCATTATCCTCATCATCACTATTTCACAGAGAGGATAAATGCAAGATCACAGGGAGAGTCATAGTCCCAGCTAAAATGAGAATGAGGAATTGCTGGTTCTTATTCTTTCCAGGAAAACTGAATTTACTCTTTAAAATAGCTGGGTGGCATTTGTAAATCTGAAGGCTACAGAGTGCACAGTGTTTCGCTTTTGTACAGATTTTTTTTCTTCTGTCTTTTGTTTGTTTCTCTCACATTCTCATTCCTAGCGATAGAAATAAAATTCTCAGAGAGATAATAAAATACATTATTTGAGGCTAAGCATGATCAATGTTTTAGGCATACTCAGAAAATGCAATGAGATGCACTTAACTTTAATGTTGCAGCTCCTGTGGTATTCAAATTTGACAGCAATGAGATATTCAAAAAATTGCTTTCTAGTGCTACATACCTTGACTGGTTTTACAGAAAGCATAGATGTTTCAGTAATTTATCTTAAATTAGTTATCTGGAATAGCTGGTCTAAATTTGGCACATTTTCACTTTTACCCTTTTCCTAAAATTTTTAGTACCAATATAAACACAATTTTGTGATGGAGAGAGGAAAATGCATTGGTGCCAGAAGTGTTCTGGATGACGCCAGGCTGCTGCACTGCTTGCATGCTGCCAAATTACAGAGTGAACAAGAGTACAAGAAGGGATCCCAAGATGTGTGGTCTCAGTTTCATCTGCCCATGGACATGGTCAATCTTGTCCATGCCAGGAAAGCCCAGGCCTTAGCGAGTGACCAAGACTACAGAAAGAGACTCCATGAATTTACAGCACTCCCGGAAGACATGAAGATGAAGTGGGCCAAAAGAGCCCACATGCTACAGAGTGAGGTAAAATCTTTCTTTTGGAAGATTACCAGCATGTGCTCCTGAGCCTGCCTAGAGAGGGATGGGATAGGATGTGAGGGAGAACCTCAGTGCTTGGCTCTTGCCTTTAGAACCCCCAAGTCAGGAGTCCAGACAAATGATGATGAAGGTTTTGCCTGATACCCTCACTGCTAAGTAGAGTAATGTACAGCGCACATGAGCTAGTTGGTTGTCACATCCTTTTAACATAGAGGGGAGAACAAAAGTGAAAAATGGATGATTGGATTAAAGTCACACAGTGAGATACCATGACTCTGAAGTGAAGTCAGGATTGTTGGGATTGCAGGCACTTTTCTGACTTTCACTTTTTATTGGGTCTGCCTGATTTTCTTTAATAGATTAGGAAGCAAAAGCAAGCCTTTAATGTGAGTAAAGAAAGTGTAATGTGTCCTCCTAGAAATGGGGTTAACGAGGAACCATGAACCAGATAAAATAATTAGTATTCCTGACTTGAACTCACCTCATAAAATTATTTCAAAAGAGGTTTTTTTACGCCCAGTACAAACAGGTTATTACTTGCTGCTTTGAGTCATACTAATTCACTCGTGGGGCCTTCTCTTGTAACTTGCATATGATACATTATTTAATTCCTGGTGGAACGAACAAATGCAAACAGTTTGGCTTTACGATCTGATATGTGCATGGCAAATGAAAAACCTCAAAATGTGAGTATGAACCAGGGAGTTTTTTAAAAAACCTTAATAGCTGTGGATACAAAACTGATAGTTAACGATTTTAATTTTTAACAGCATCGCTATAAATCAGACCTGAACTTCATGAAAGGAGTTGGTTGGATGGCTCTGAGATCTCCGCAGATAGAAAGTGTAAAGAAGGCTGGAGAGCTCATCAGTGAGGTAACTGATAAATCTTTCATGGGATAGCAAGTCTGTAGGAATTGTTTACCATCAAGGCTCCTCGTTACATGACACTTACGAATGTAGCTTATCATTTCCTTTTGATGTGGGAGCCTGTTTATACAAGGTGTAAGTTACCAAGAAGAAGTACGGGAGACGCAAGTCCACTGTGTGACACCTGCTGAATATTTTCCATTCCAAATGAAACACAAGAGTATAAGCAAAACATGTAGCAATAAATAAATGCAGGAAACTCCATTATGAAATTCTAAGCAGGTGGTTATGGAAGTTGTATAGAAAGATACAGCACTGACAACCACACTGAAGGGACATTTGCCTGCTCAATATCATGCATTAATGGAGAAAAATTATGAGCTGTCAAAAGTGTAGTGTTCAAAAGCTTTTTGCATGTGAATTTTTAGTGGGAAGTCCTTTGTGCATACACACACATAGACACACACACAAAAAAGTTTGGTGCCTGATACAAAGGCATCCCCAGTCCCTAGCTAAAAGAGCAACTGAGACTAAAGCAGAACAGCGGCTTCAGGAAAAATGTCTTTTATGTTTTACCCCAGTTATCACACTCTTGGAATTGTCATATATCATTAACAGAAACATCTTGTGGGTTTTTTCTTCCTTTGTTTGTTTTTGTTGCTTCCTGCCCCTCTCAGATAAACTACCGTCAAAAGCCAGAAAGTCTGAAGTTCACTGCTGTGGTTGACTCTCCAAGTTTGATTCATGCCAAAAACAGCTACCTCCAGTGCAATGATGTAAGTTTCATTCTAATGTATAACTGATCTTAACTTTTGCTGTACCATAATGCAGAAAAGAGTTGATCTTGACATTGCCTCCAGTATCATCTGCACTCAATGACTTTTGGCCCCACAGAGACTGTACAAGGCCGGAGGTTCCGAAGGCAGGCACAGGTACACCCTGCCTCCTGATCATCCCGATTTTATCCGAGCCCGCCAGAATGCACTGTACATCAGTGATGTAAGTAAACCTTCTCCTCTGGGGAGCTGACTTGGTAAACTTGTTTGGGAATAAAAGCTTTCATGTATGTAGAAGCCAAGTTCTCTGAGCCTGACCAAAACTAAAAGAAGCCAGAGGAAGTGAACAGCCAACAGGTTGCTAGGTTTGGGCTGGAGGAATCGGGAAAAGTCTGCTAATTTTCCTTTGGAGCATTCATTGAATTTTCTAGGGCAGTAAGCTATTATTAAGGATTTCAAACCTTCATTATAGATATGATTAGTTAAAAATTAAAATCTTTTTGGTTTTGTTTGGGTGAGGGAGGAGGGAGAGTCCTCTTTCCTAGACTATATATTCTACCTTTCTGAAGTTGCAGCACTGTGTTGAACTGATCCCTTAGGCATAGTTGTCATCAATCTGGATGTAACTGAATCAGTGAGTGGAATTTGTTTAAAGAGAATTTGTTCCCACATTATCTCACATAGAGGAACTCAGTCTATTCCTAATGTCCTGTTTGCTGAATAAATAGCAGTTCTCTTTACCTGGAGGGTCAGAATGACCTTAGTTTGTAAGGAGCTTTGAGACAGGTGAAAGAAACAAGTAGAAATTAAGTTTTTGAAGTAATAGAGGAAAATGTAAAAAGGCAAATATTGTGTACAAGGGCTGCACACAAATGAAAGGTCAGCCCTGTTAGCAGGGTGTACAGTGATGCTTACATTGCTTCTGCCTTGGCTGGCTTGCAGGATTTCTGGCATCTCAGTTTACTTTCAAATTTATCACCACCTAGCACTACTTTCACCAGTGAAACAGAAGATTATCTTAAAATGTGGAGTGGATTTTGTACTTCTTTTTGTATGGTCACAAACCCCAGAAGGGGTGAATCAAAGACTTACAAAAAGCAAATGAATAAAATCAGAAAGGGACAGCCAAAAGGGTAGGCTAAGATACCATGTCTGTGTAGTAGGACCTACAGACTGGAAACTATTTTAAGAAAGCTACTAATGGAAGAAGAACCAAATCTAGAGCAATTTCTCTTCAGGATGTAAATGTGATTCACATCCTCAAAGTCACATTAAATATGTTAGAACCGGCTGTTATTCCACATGAGTTAATGAAGCCACATGTGGCTGGGGATAGAGACGAGGATCATTTGAAAAGCTTGAAATAACTGGTATTGAAATTATGATGCCAGGAAACCCAAGACACTGTGAGTGGATGCATCAAAAGAGAGAATAAGGGCAATATCAATGCAATATTGATGTGACTGATGCATCACAGTTTCTAATAGAAATTAAATCACATCAAAAACAACCACATTCAAGTACAAAAGGAAACCCTGGTGGCACTTTTCAGATGAGGCATTTTATCATTATGGTGAATAGAAAAGAAGTTGAAGTGCTATAGAACTGGATCAAAACCTTGGAGATGGTACTGATGACTCTTGATACAAATAAGCCCAGTAGGATAAAACATTTATTATTGTAGTTATGGGACTGCGTTTAAGAAGCTGCAGGGGGAAATGACTGTTTTGTTCTTCTCTTTTCAACACAGAAATTGTATAAAACATCTTGGGAACAGTCAAGGGCATCTGGCTATGATTTTAGGATTGACGCCATCCCATTCCAGACAGCAAAGGCTTCAAGAGAGATTGCTAGTGATGTAAGAATTGCTCTGTTTCAAACACTTCTCAACCCTCTTCCCATGCCACCCCACTCTGTAAAAATGGGTGAAGTCTGATATGTGTGAACTTTGTTCTGGTGTGGAAAATTGGTGATCCAATGAAACAAAGTGCTGGTTAAGTGCAAAGATTTCCTACTAAAGGCTACCATTAATAATGTCCAATACCAGACTGTTCTGTCTTATGTCCCAAGAGTTTTTCTTGGGAAGAAGACATATTATGATTTAATCAAATAAAATAGGCACTAGACTATAAATAGTTAAAGCATGGTCTAGGATAAAGTGGGTTATCTTTGAACAAAGAAGACCACAGCTGGCAAGAAAGCTTAAGATGGAGGAGCTTCATTGGTTGAGCTGTGTATTGTGTGTACCCAAGAGTGCAACAGTAGGGGGATCTCTGATTACTTTTGAGAGATGAGCATTTTGGGCCCCCTAAGTCTTTGCACTTCTTTAAAAATGAGCACAAAGGTAATTCTTCTAAAGTGTCTTGTTAGATTAGGAGATGTAGTTTGATATCAAACAAACCCTTGGTCTTTGTGCACTACAGGAAACATGATTGATAGCCAGGAGAGGATAAGTTATTTCATAACAGAATTTGAAGGTAATTTGAATGTGAAAATGAGATTTTCCTCTGCACTTCCTGCAGTACAAATACAGAGAAGCCTTCCTGAGAGACAGAGGCCAGCAGATTGGATTCCTCAGTGCAAATGATGATCCCAAAATCAGACATGTCCTCAGAGTGGGGAAACTCCAGAGCGACCTCCAGTACAGGAGTGATTATGCCCTAAACATGGCACAGTTCCAGAGTCACCTCAACCAGCCAGGATTCCTCCATGCCAAGAGAAGTCAGCAGCTTGCAAGCAATGTTAATTACAGGCAGCCCCTGCACCAATACACTTGTGACCCTGAGCAGCTAAATGTGAAACACGCAAAGCAGGCCTACGAGCTGCAGAGTGACGTAAGTGTGGCTGAGCATCATGGTCCTTCTCAGGCCTGGGGGCTATCTGTGCAATTTCCTTTGCAAACCTTACCTGCCAACAAAATTACCTCAAAAGAACCACAGTCTGCTTGCTAAAAATGAATAATTTGTTTATTATTGACTCTGCTGCTCCTTTATAGCCTTTCTCTTGAATATTCAGGTCATGCGAATTGGTTAGAGCTCAACAAAATAATACATCCTGGTGCATGTTTCATTCTCTCAGGTAAAATACAAGTCTGACTTGAACTGGCTCAGAGGCATTGGCTGGACTCCCCCAGGTTCCCACAAAGTTGAAATGGCAAGAAGAGCTGCTGAGCTGGCATACCTTCGGGAAATGGGATTGCTGCGTGCTTCTGCTCAGTACAGACCTGTAAGTAGAGTAAACCATTCTTCTCACAAATCCCAACAGCTCTGCTCCTGACCTGCACACATCCTGTCTAATACTTTTGAATGCTCCCTGGAGTCTACAGTTCTCCCTATTATCTGAACAGGATATGTGTGCTTCCCTCATGAAACTTTGTGCCTTAGTGTACATCTGAATTTGAAGGAACCATTGAAGGGTATTCACCAGTGTCAGCAGTGTTGTGTCAGGATGTGCTTTCCCCAACTTGTGGATGATGTCAGATCTCCAAGTGTCCCAGTACCTCTGAGGAAAGCAGAAGCAGAGGTAGAAAGGACTCCCTATGCAACTCCCATTCCCTTTTCCTAATTCCATCAGGATCCACGTGTTGCCATGTAAATCCGTGTTGCCGTGTAATCTCCACTGGCAGCCGTATTGACAGGCTGAGCATAGGCTCCTAACAGCTTAGTTTGTGCTGTGGAATGCTTTCTGCAAAGGGGCAATGCTCCAGCCTCCTCTGCCTCTGTCCAGCTCAAGGTTAAAGATATTGCAAGCAGGGATCTTCCAGGCTTTCTTTCTGCCTGCCTCCACAGGAATGAGTCCCAGTCTACAGCCCCTCTGCACAAGAGAGCAAAAGTCCATGCAGGAATCTCAGAGCCCTTACTGTTAAGAAGCATTCAGCCACAATAAAAGAGAAGTACTTCACTTCAAATACTTTGATTATTTAATTGTTAACTTCGGTAAGAAGTCAAGCAATAATCCAGACCAAGAGGAACAGTACATGTCCATGATTTACATTCCCATCTGAAGTTACTCAGGAAATAAGAACTATGGTTGAGTAAGGGAGGCAATGGGAACTATAGGTAATATCTTCTTCAGTCAAAGGTGTGATAATGGTCCCAGGGAAACCTACAGGTGTGCAATCCATGTGCAATTCAGGTGTTTGCTGTTTCCTTTTTATTTAGGGTTCAAAATAGAAACTAGGACTTGAGCACATTTAGTCCTTTGATATGTGAGGTATCTAACTTACATGAACAGGTCCATTTTTGCACTACTCCACAGCAGAAATTCATTCAGTGCAGAACAGTGATCTAGATTTTCCTCATTATTTTTGCCAGCTGTGTAATTTTGAATATGAAAATGTTGTTATAGAATAATAGTTAAAACCCTCCCCATCCACTGGCTGGTTTCACAATTTTTCTGGGTATGATTTCACAGGACCAGTTGGAGACAGAAGGATCTCAGCAAGTTGGAGTCAACCCTGATGCTTCAGAAATTCTGCAAGTCAAGAGAAGGCAAATGCAGCTCTACCAGAAGTAAACAGAAACATGACATAGCATGAATAGATTTTCACCTTGTCCTGCAAATTCTGTAGCTTTTCCAGTTTTCTGGGAAACATAATAGATGGCATTTAAGAATTTTTGTTTTAACAAGCAACCAAAACATTGCAATTTATAACTGATCATTTTATTTTTGTGTGGATACTTTGTGATTTACCACTGAATATATTACAGATTCTGCTATTTATTTAAAGCTGTAAATGAAATTAGTACTAGATGACTGGCAGGCTCAGCTTTGTACTACAGATGGTAGAATATGAAATAATTTGTAATGAATAAATCAGGTGACTCTTATTCCATGTTTGAATTTTTGGAGATTTTTATGTTCCTGGAATATTGGCACCATTGACCTAAGAGAGTACAAAAGCACAATTCAGGTGGTTTAAGAGATGAACGAGTCAAAGGCCAGTGGGGGAAAAGTTATCACTGACTTGCCAAAGGCAGGTCTTCTAGCAGACATCAGGGAATCTTCTGGACTATCAGGACATTCTAGACTATTCAGGTCACAAATAGTTCTTCCATTTTTTTTCAAACCTTCCAAAGTGAAAAATCAAAATTGCTCTTTGCAATAGGGGTAACTATTGACAGATTAGGCAGCTGCTTAGAGAAGGTTGTAAATCCTGGAATTCAAGTGAGAGTGACATTGCTACTTTAAGAAATTGACTCTCCAAAAACAATATTCTTTATATTCTGATTTAATACCAATCCCTTGTTTTTCAAATTTCTGTGCAGAATCATTGGGCAAAGTTAACACAATCTGACAGATACATCTTATGAAAACTCTCAAATTATCCAATGGCCTAAGACAGATTTTTTTAGCAGCTTTTAGTCCTACTATGTCTCACTGGTTAAGCACATATAAACCATTGTAGATCTGGAGCATAACATGTAATTATTCTCTAGTCAGGAATAAAGTGGATAATTCTAGTACTGAAGGTTTGTTTGCTTTTTCAATCTGAAATGTATCACTAATTAAATTTGTAGTTATTTATGCACAAAAGGGCTTTTAAAAATAATTGTCCTGCCTGATCCTCCCTCCTCAGGAAATTCCAATTGCTGCAATCTTGTAAACTCAGCCACATGGTGATTCTTATGTGTGTGAAAAATGGTACTGGCTTTAAGAGCACAAATCAATAGCTTTGAGGTGTCGGGGTCCAATGAGTACAGAAAAAACACATCTTAGACAGGAGTGTGAGGGGAAGAGGAAATGTCTGGCAGCAGCTGAGCTGGGAGAATTTTCATGACTTTCAGATCTAGAAACATGGTCTCAGGGCCTTTGACTTGTTTGGGGAAGAAATGGAGTATCTTTGCTTTCTGATCTGTTTAGCTACAAAATGTGGGCTTATTTCAAAGCCCACAATAGAAAAACTGTCACTGACATTCTAGCTAACACTCTTAAGGCTATTTTCAAGATGGTGATGAGGAATGCTCCATGTAGGCCATGAGAAAATATCAGTAATATTTTTGGTCAGAGATGAGGCACTTAGAGTATTAATAAAAATAGTAAAACTCTCAATCTTACCATTTGTCATTCCAAAACTCTCTCCTAATGACGTGACCTTGATGAAGACTGAATTACATCTTTAATCCAACCGGCGAATTTTGTCACCTGGGTATAAACTCCTGGCTTGTTTTTTAACCCACATCCATCACCCCAGCTCACAAGGCCATATGTGTAGTAGGAGCCATTTTCTACACATGTCAGTGGGCCTCCAGAGTCTCCCTGATAAAGGAAAACACACATGTTCAAAGTATGAAGCAAAATAGCAACTAAGGTCAGAATTCTCGCTCATCACAAGACTTTGAAGCTGTAATGGTGTTTTTCCCCTAACAGATGTACCATCAGATGCTGCTTAGCCCCTAAGTGGACTTGCAGTTCTGTGGCCAAATGATACCAAACTTTTTGGATGTAAGTTTTCTTTTTTTTTTCCAGTCTGTGACATAAATCTGACAAGGTCACATGAAATTTCTGTGTTGTGAAAGTGCCAGGAATTTAGTCTGAACTCAGAAAGATAAAGATGTGATCCCTGGCATAAATGAAAACTTAAGCTGTCTCTCACTCCTCAAAATAGTCTTATTCTGAGTTGCTTGATCTCATTTTTTTTTTGGTTTTTTTATGATATATTGTTGAAAAATATGATTTACTGTGGTAATTTTCACCTTAGGAAGTGTTGTTCAAACTGTTTCCTTTCAACAGTGTAAGTATAAATTTGTTTCACATTTTTGTTAGCTGTAATGAAAAGAAACATCAAGAGTGTTCAGGTTACTATGACAAACTGCCTCAGAAGCCAAGCTTTCCAGGCTGGTCTCTTGATTCCACAGATCTGCCTGTGGGTGACAGTGGCAATATCAGCTCTAAGGATGTACAACTCAAAGTGTACTGCAGAAAGGTTGTTGAAATACACTGAAGTGAGAGCAGATACATATGCAGCACATTGCCAAAGCTCTGCACAGCCTGATTCTTTAAACATAAAAATTAGCGTTCAAATACAGAAAAGGTAACAGACAGACCTCACAAGAATCGATTCCGGGCTTCCGAAGTTTTCCTGCACAAAACATGCTATCATCCAGTGTGTTATCATGTAGTTTGGGCTCATTGCATTTCCTCTGCGAAATCAACTTGACATTGGCATCTAACAGCTGATGGGATTGGTCATCTATGGGATGTGCACCAAAAAAATGGAGTCACTTTCTTCCCATCCCTGTTACATCCTGTCTTCAAAAGACGATCTTGCTTTGCAGACAGATGGGACGGGGGAAGAGCAGGGGGGATGCAAGTGCTAGCCTGGGAAGGAAAGAACTATCTGGCTGAAACTATAAGTTTCTAACGATTTGGATCTGAAGTTTCATTCAGGACAGAGTTGTTGCCCGAATAAAAGTGAAGTCAGGTGTTCAGAATTTGGTTCCAATCAGCTGTCTCTGTGTAATCCTGCTTTTCCAAGGTGCTGGTTGTCTGCAGCTCCCAGAGGTCCCCATGGGACTTTGAGCTGCTCAGCACTTCCCAGACTGGTACTACTAGATGCTTTAACATGCAAGCTAATGAAACAGATGAAAACTGAAAATCATACAATATTTAAAGGCAATGATTAATTACAGTGAATCTAAAGACATAACTTGACATCTAAAGGCAATAGCCTTCGTTTCAAAGTACTACATCTGTAGATAATTAAAGGTGGTTTATAAGTTTGGTTCTGCTTGAGTTTCAGGAAATATTCCATTTCTGCAGTGATTTCCTGAAATGCTAATAATAGTTCTGCTCAAAGGAGGAGCCATCTAGTTCGAACACGTAGAGGGTACTTGATATTCTTTGTTGTGGGGAAAAACCCATAAAATCCCCCTTAGCCTTTTTAAGGGAGACTTTTTATTTGGAAATTTCAAAAAAACGTCCATTAAATTCTGTTGGTGCATTCTGATCAAATGAACACACTTGTCTTATGGACTTCAGAGGGAGTTATATCATAAGGGAGAATTCAGTCCCGTGCGTCATATCAGGCTGTATCAGTCACAAAGCACCAGGACACTTACTGCAGCCTCAGTGACAGGTTTTCCTTCTGCTTCACAACAACACATCAAACAGAACATGAGAAAATGCATTTTTCAGAAAATCTCCATTATCTTTTTTTAAGCATAATAATTTCTCCCCTTAGGAGTTACCGTGGGCAAGAAAGGTTTTTGGATAGAGCTGGTTGAACTTGAAAAGATTAGGATTTTTTTTATTATTTTTCAGTACATCTGAAGGTCCAGATGCTGCTTCTGAAATGCTTTATCTGACCCAATGGGCTGGAAAACCATGTGAAAGTTCCTGTCTTTCTTGGTCCTGTCTTGAAACACACAAACTATACAATAGCCTCTCTTGATACTTCCTTGCTTCTGCAACTGGCTTCAGATGAAACCATGACATGGAGGGTCAGATGGCTGGCAAAAAAAGGCATCATGCATCAGACATCTTATCAGAACTCTGACAGGTTTGGTTGGTTTAGGAGCTAGAGATTTCTGCTAATGAGTAATTTGCATGGCATGTTCTAGCTGACCTTATTTTTGAATTCCATGTCTTGGTTTCACTAGTGCCTAAGTCCTCATTTGGGTCTGGCAATGACTATTGAAAGTAGCAGCCCACCTTGCCACTGGAGTACCCACCAAAACCCAATTAGCCCACAAATACCTGTCTCTGTCTGGCCCCATCCAGATATGAAGCAGGAAGTCCCAGCAGGAAGGAAGAAGTCAGGGACACATGCTATTTTCACATACTTTGTTTCCACTGCACAGTAACCATCAACAGGCTGCAGTTTAAGTAGTGCTGGAGAGGAGATAAACAATAACAAAAAGTATTTGGAGCTAATTTTGATCCCTAACCATTGTTAGCAGTGTGTGTGCAGCCCCATGCAAAGCTGCATAAAACCAACATTCCATTTGCCCCACCGTGCTGGATCTGTTCCCATTGTTTGACTCCTCCTGAGCAGTGACTTCTGCCTGCCCATCACAATTTACATCCCAAGATTCAAATGGGTCTAGATCACAATTTGGCTGGATTATTTCCAGAGCATAGTCTCAATGAGAATTTTACATTGACTTTAGTGGGGGAGAGGCACTTCAAACAACAAAGGTTAGAGGTGAGCCACGTGAGTATCAAATGAAGGATTTACCGATATCATTGTATAGGACACCACCCTTCTCTCTGTATTCGCCATGCAAAATTATTTGCACTGCATCAAATATTTGCTCATGACGCTCTTTCTTCTCGAGGTTTTGCTTTCCAAGGGCTACTTGGATCTTAGTTTCTGGGTTTCTGGGAAAAAAAAAAAGACATTAATATACTGACATTTTTTTATCAGTGGTGGTGAAAACCTGCACTTTAAGTAACAAGAAGTCAAGATATTTCTTCCTGTCATAAAACTTGTCCAGAAGATTTCCTAAAATCATTAGGAAGGCTTAGACAGGAATGCAGTGGTGCTGGAAAATACATGTGCTCTTAACTTGTAGCAATCATGAAATAAAGTGATTTAAAGCTGCATGTACACATTTTTCTTTGCATTTTAGGGCAGAGTAGCAATGTGCACACAGTCTATTACTGTGGCAGTGATGACGAGTGGCAGCTCATGTAGTCATGGGAATAGAACTGCTTGCCATTTTCTGAGAATATTTAAAATCATCTGTGTTGAAATTATTCCCAGTGTGTAATTTACCTGTTTCCTAGGGTGGTGGTTTCCAACTGTTTCAATGCAATTGTCGGAGGAAATGTAATATTCTAAGCTAGCTGACACAGAAAAAAATTAAAGCTAAGAGGATATTTTGACTGTTTTGAAGAACTTAATTCTGATGTAATGTGTGATGTTGTTTATGGCATCCCAATATCCCCTGAGTTCTTCATAGAGTTCTTTTACATATTCCAAAATCTTGCTACTTTCCTCCTTTTTTCATCTCACCCAACTTCTTTGGCTCATTTTATTAGAGTGGAACCTAAGTTTGTCATTTCAGCAAGCATCATTTTCAAGTATACAAACAGTTTTATGTATGTGTTCATTTCTTTATCAGTCCACATATATATTTTCCTTTCAATTTGACTCCTGGCAGTCATTTTGATTGCAAATAATTTCGATACCAAGCTGCTTTTACTAACCATCCTGATTTTTATACATTTATCTACCCTAATGATAGGACATGCACCTACTCAAGGCAGTGTGCAGCAGTAAGAACCCAGCATGATTTAATTAACACTCCACCACAGAAATGTTCATTTCCATTTGGAGTCTGTCTCTGTAGAGATGCCATCCAGGGATGTTTTCCAGCTGTAGCCTTGGATCCACCATAGATCTTCTTGACTGTCCTACGAACTTCAGGTTGTCCACATGTTTGGAATATTTCAGGGGGGTCTGTAGGGGGTTCTGTGGGGGTCTCTTCAGCTGCATTGGAAGAGACAGCAGATGTACAATGCAGAGTTAATATCAGACATGAAGAGTTAAGAAACAGGGAGTCACCTGCTGCTCTATACAGCCTACAGGCTGTCAAATCTCTTGCTTCTAATTCTTTACCTGAGCAGGGTGAAACATCACAATATTCCCACTCTATTTCCTCATTTTTTCTGATGTAGCACCAGGGTCTTTCATCCTCATCAGGATTCCTGGGGGGAACAGTTGAGAGAATCAGCAAGTGGGAATGGGGAAATCTCCATGAAACCAGTGGAGAAGCTGAGGATTCTTAGAGAGAAGCCACATGCTCCCATATAGGAGATGAACGTCCAAAGATAATATTTCATAAGATTTGACAAAGAAGATGCCTGAGCAAGGAATAAAATACTGCCATATTACTATTCCCATACCTATCTTTGCCATAAGAAAAAAGTGGGATTGGTTCAAAACAAAGAGGGCAGCCTCTGGAAGCCTCACATCAGTGTGGTTAGAGAAGACATCTGTAACATTCTGGTGCTTTATGGGCAGACAGTGTTTAGAAAGATGTGAGATCTTAAAACCATCAGTTTCTCAAATTGATACAGACCTCTACAGTTGCTTCCTCAAAATATTACCTGCAGAAGTTGTGATCACCAATGCCATATGAGTCAGCATCCTCCATAAAGGCATTAAAAGGTTGGTCCAAGAGATGGTGGGAATTCCAGTGCAGGCAGGTCCTGCCATTTTCTGCTTGGTTCACTCTTCCTCTATATGTAGAGGAGTCCTCTTCATAACAATCATATGGTCCTGTAGAAAAACAATGCTCATATGAAAATTACTTTTGTGTTGCTCCTTGCTCAAAGTGGTTCCTCTTTCAAATACAGAAAAAGGACTATTCCTTATCCTACATTTATTTTATAGAGGATCAGAAGAACCTACTGGGCCAAGTAGTTATGTTCCTTATTGTACACAGGCCAGAAATTAATGTTCAAACATCTGTCTACCTTCTGGACTGATTGATTTCAAATTCCAACCATCAGAAGCAGTCCCCTCAGCCTGGGGAGTCACAGGCAATGGGGCAGGCATCTTTACTACATCAGATTTTGAATGTTTAAGGTAAACTCAACATTTCTTCCTTTTGTGACATGTGTGACCTCTGGGAGATGTACACACACTTATTATATACCAGTGGGACCTTGCAAAAGCACACTTAGGAACCAGCAAGATGGGAACTTTTTCAAGTCCCTCTTCCAGCAGTGGCTGCAGAAGTCAGCCTCTTCCTCTGACCCTCTCTCCAAGGAAGCTGGTGTCCCGCTGTAGTCAGGCTCTTGGAGCAGTGACAGAAAGTCACCCAGGATGCTACAGGAATAGCATCAGGTAGTCTGGCTGCAGGGGGAAGCCAGCCCTCGGCTGTCTGGAGGTTCACCCCTCCCCCTGCAGGGCTGAGACGTACCGATCTCGCAGAATCTCCCTCTGAACTGTTCAGGGCACTTGCAGGTGAATTTGGATCTGTATCTGTTTCGTATGCAGGTGCCTCCATTTTTGCAAGGGTTTGGACTGCACTGTTTGGATGCTGTCAATGTGGAAAACACAGAAGAGCCTTGTCAATGTGCTGATCACTACACAGCCACTCACATGCCCAGTGGAAACTGGGGAGACCTCCCACTCAGCCTTTTGGCTTTGAATTCTCATGAAATCTTGTAAAATGCGTATCACTAGGGGTTTACCAGTGACTGAACCACTTGATTTCCACCACCCTGCAAATCAAGCATAACTCATCAGTGTCCAGGCCCATGGATGGGAGCTGCAGCATGTCTAGGGCAGGATCACCCTCTGCAGTGGGTGATTTCCCACTGCAGACTGGCCATGGTGCTGTTCCCACCCAATTTGTGCCTAGCTGAGTGCTCACCATGCTGGCAGGAGGGTCTCTTGTAAGGAGGCTTGCAGCTGCACTTGAAATACGGTGGGGTTAATATAATCAGGCAGTCACCAAAGTGGCAGTTCTTCTCCCGACACATGTCCTCCACTGTAGAAAATACACATAAAGTACATCATCAGCATTTGTATGTGCATAAGAGGGCCCTTGCAGGGGTCGTGGGCAGATGCATTCCCTTGACACTCCAAGGGCGCTTTCATTTGGCAGATGTGGACTTGGGATCTCACTTCTTGTTTACAGTATCTATGGCAAAAAAAATCTGTGGTACCAATGAGCATCTCCCCACTGCCCACCTTGCAGGGCACTCTCTGCACTCTTGAAATTTATTTTACTGGATACTCTTTGGGCAGACTTTGGCCTGGATGATGTCCTAAGAACTATGGACATGACTGCTCAGCAAACAGTGGGTTTATAAAGTTGCAACAGTAGCCAAAATAAGGAGTGTAGGTTAGCAGAAGAGCCATTACCTTTATCACATGTATCCCCACTGTATGGCGCGGGGCAGTGACAGCTGAAATCACTTCCTCTGGCCTCACATGTACCACCATTTTTGCAGGGGTTGGAGAAGCATGAGTCTGCAGAGGTAAGGATGGAGATCATTCAGCCTCTCAACCTTCATCACCTGCTTTTCCTTCTTGCATTTTGTGGTTGAGGAGTCTGTCTTCCTGGGCACAGCATCCTGTGTAACAAGTGCTAGGCTTATGCACCTCAGCACCCACGGGAGCGGTATGAGTTGCTGCAGAGTTTATTCCAAGCTGAAGTGGCTCATAGCTTTGGGTCTAGAGATCCTCTACTCCCCTTGCCCTGTTACAGAGTTGTAATGAGGCGAGTCTCTCCCCTTGATCAGAGATAGATTTGCCTCTGTGGCATTGCCTTTGGCTGTCTGCCACCATGCACTGAATCTTCAGTGATGTGGATTTGGAATTGTCCTGTTAGAAACACAGCATTAAATATCCCCTAGAAAAGCCATCCACTACCATTAGACTCTACCATACCCCTGGGTGGCTGTTGCCTCAAGGGAGCTGACACCTGCTGAAAGTCATTCATGTGCTGCTCCTTACACTGTGCTCAACATCTCCACTGAAGTCCAGGCTGCCAGGAGTAATTGGTACTGGAGACAGCCAAAAGTCAGCTCTGCTTGTTTTGTACCAGGGGATAACTCAGGAATGTTACAGGCAACTTCCCTGCCCTTCCTTTTGAGTCCCCTGGGCAATCTCAAGGATCCTTTCCTGTTCTCCTGAAGTTTGGCAAAACAAAAAAAGAAAAGGAAATAAAACCCCTGCAACTGATAAAAGAAGAAAAAAAATAAAAAGACACCTGCTCTACATTTGGTTCTTAGCATAAATACAGAACATATATCCCATGAAAAACAGCAATTACGTCTTACAGTGTCTATAGACAAATAAGCCTGTGCTTTTTTTTGTAGTAGCAATCAGAAATGTTCTGCATGATCAGAATCCATCCTGTGAAACCTGGAGATAAAACACAGGATCCTTACAAGAGAAATACAAAGAAGAACACTGCAAACGATCCTCCTAACTCATTCCTTTGATGCAGGCATTTTGAGAGCAGGCTGGCAGCCAGGCCTGCCACGTTCATGCTTCAAGCACAGGGTTGGGATTTTACCCCTTCCTTGCCTTTCTGCCCACCCCTGAGAGGTACCTTTCATGACAGCAAAGTCCCCTAAAGATGTCTCGAACCAGCTAATTTCCTCCGAGAGCTCCTGCTGGAGGTTGGCGTTCTGCTCTGGTTCTGTATAGTAGTAGTAGTTCTCATAGTCATCAGCCTCATCTGCAGGGAAGGGCGAGGAGAGAGTGAAAGAACAGAGGAATTAAAACTGGAAGAAGACAAGTTATGAAAGAAGTTATTCCTGAGATGGACAGTACATTTCCCTTTCAGTTCATTTGGGATGGGTATAGTGGGTATAGGGACCATCTTGAGGAGCAAAGATGCTGTTCAACTCTTCCTTGGCATAGGCAGAGCTCACCTAGTGCTCAGCACGGCCACCCTGAGCACAGCTGGCCCCAGTGGTGCATCCCCTCCAGGGTGGCACTGGGGCTCTGGCTGCCCAGCTGACTCCCGTAGGGAAAGCCAGGATGCCCCAGAGGGGATGCAGGCCAGGGCTCCCCAGAAAAAGGCACAAGGAGCCCCCCAGACAGGGTAGATGCTGAGGCTGGTACCAGCACAAAAAGAGATTCAGGTTCCTATAGGAAGAAGGGATTTTCTTTGTCCATCTGCTTTGCTGACCACAGCCACCGCTGCTGCAGGATGAGGCAGGGCCCTCCGCAGCACAGGGGCCTCACAGTGTGCGGGGACACAGAATCCCACCTCGAGAGCAATTGCGCCATGCCAGGGGTTCTTTGGTTAAAGTGGACTGGCAGCTCCTTGCACAGGTACAACTCTTGCCAGTGGAAGCCACTCCAGTGTTTCAAAGACAAACTATGGTAATGAGCAAAGCTAAGCTATGTACAGAGACATTTTATAAAGCTCTCCTCTAGGGCTGGGCCGATGGCCCCGTGGATAATGCTCTGCCTTGAACTGATTATCGACTGCATTATCTTAGTTTTCTCTCCTCATTCATTCACTTGGAGCCTTTATCTTTATTCTTTCTTTGCTTCTGAAAAAAGAAAGAAATTCCACGTTTGTACAATGGGTGTTTTATATTTCATATTAAAATAGAACGGTCTTTTTTTCCTTTTTTTTTTCTACATGCCAACTGTAGTTTCTCACCAAAAAAAAAAAAAATAGAGTAAAGTTTCACCTCATTTATTGCTATGTCAAGTCAAGACTCCTTTTCCTCAGCTCATTATTTCCACAGGAGCCGAGTCTCGACTATGTGCAAGTGTTGCAGAAGTATACGCCTTGCTGAGGAACAGAAGGATCTTGCTGAAAGATAAGGACATTGTCTACACTGAACAAAATTAAATTTAATGTGATGTAGTTAAGGAAGAAAAACAAAAAGGAAGTTTTGCCTGAAATGCAGCCTCCAAGTTCACTTTGTTGGAGAGAAGATTTTGCAAACGACTTGAGGTTGAGGGAACTGACTGAAGTAGTCTGACTTTGTATCCCCTGTTTATTTTCTGAATCCTAGAGGGGCATGCTGGCTTTTATTCCACAGATATTCTCTGAAGGATAGGGTATTCCTTTTTATGGAAAAATATACCTGCTAAAAGTTATGAAGGATGAACAGGGAAGTGATGGCTGCGAAAGGCGGACTGCAAATATGCCAACATGCTTTACAGAGGCTGGTGAGGATTCTTCTGAATCAAAATAAGTGCCTTGAATGAGTGCAAATAGCCAAGCCATTGTGGAATCATCTACTCTGGTTTTTAAACAGACTGCTTAGTGTGTGCTGTTAAAAATGATGCTACTGTCACTTGATTTTTATTTGGCATGATTTCTCAGCAACAGATTAATCATTTATTAAGAACACTTATATAATTACTTGATATGCTATGAAGTATTTTTAAGTTCAGCTCTTCTGCAAACAAGATGGCCAAGAGGTAATTTGCATTTTGCAAGACGTGCTTCTGGTGGCTCTGAGAGGTTTGGGGGCACAATCTCCCATGTGCACTGAAGGGGCAGTTTTGGGGAGGCTATTGCACACCCGAGGCCAGTTTGGAGCCCAGCAGCCCTCAAAGAGGGCAACTTCAGGTAACCAGGGCTGAGGTAAAGCAGGAAATCCTGAGAAATCCCCTCAAGGGCCGGCAATTACCATTTCAAGAAATTTAATTGCCAAGGCATGGAGTTAAGTGTGCATATGGAAAGGGCTCAGAAGACATCAGCAAACCCTTTTGGGTACCCTGTGCCCCATGTGGATATGGGAGACAGGAAGCTGAGGTTAGTGGCCAGGAGACCAGCCAAGGTGATGTAAGAGTGCAACAGATCTGAGAAATGACCAGCGTCCCTGCTTTCCCCATTCATTCCCTCTTCATGAAACTGAGAAACAGATACAGCTCCTACAGGTCACATGAGTGATGTTTCCATGTCATCTCCAGCTGCATGAAGCAGTGAAAAACAAAGACCAGAAAACTCTCACTGGGGCATATGATATCAAACTAAAAGATGTCTTCTTATTTATCACTGTTTTGACACTAAATAACTATTTGGCTTCCACATCTCTTATTTAAGAAGTGCTCCCATTCCCATTTTTTTAATTATTCATAACAAGGCATAGGTTTAGTAAAGCAAAAACAACACTTTTTTATCTGAGCACATAATTAAAGCACAAAGTCTGATACACTGGTTGATTTAAACATATTACTAAATCAGAGTGTTCGTTCTTTGTAAGTGCTGGAAAACCTTAACATGCTTAAAAAAAGCAGTGATCTGACATTTGTCACTGAAATGTGACTATTACATGAAATTAAATTAGACATCCTGCATGCAAATTTTCAAAGAATAACTTTCCCCTGTGTAGTACAAAAAATCCCCCCATAATTGATAGACAGAGATTGACTTTTAAAGCTTCAAATCAGCTTTGAGGTCTGGGTGATCTTTTAAACTGCGCAAGCTTTCATCTGCAGTTTTTCACATTGCCAAGAGCTGTCAATCAAGCAATGGATTTCTGATCAATATCCCCTTGTTCATTAGCTTACACTGGCTCTCTGTTACGGAGAGAACAGATACCCCAATGCCGACAGTCACACTGTTTTCAAAACCTTTCCTGGATCAAGTGATGACTAATGTTCCAAGTGGGAAAGTGATGCATTAGGATGCCATCGGGTGACCTGAATTGCGAGGTAACTTTGTTGGACTGCAGTTGTCAAGATGAGTGATGTGCAGAGTTAAAGCCTATTGCCAACACACATCAAGAGTGCCAGAAAGTACCCAGCGTTTATTCAAGCTCTCTGAACCTCTGGAGACTGACTGAAATCTGGCCTAATTTAAGCAGGATGAGTTTTCCTACCACCCCCTTAAATACTTTTTGTCCCCAGCTCTGAGATTATTGCAGTGTTATTTTTATGAGGCTGAAATCCTGACTGTATTTTAAATAATGAGATATTCCCCATTTACTTCTGCAGAGATGAGACCTCACAGTATTTCCTCCCTTCCAAGCGGGCTGTGGCTGGGAGTAGCTGCAGCTTCAGAAGAAAGGGAGACCAGCTAACAACAAAGCCAGAAAGCCTTTCAAATAGTTTTGTGGCTGTTACTTAAAAGCAGTTTTGCAGCACTTTTTTCCTCAGAGGGATGGATGCGGGGTGAAGGGGAATCGTGGTGGCTGAAGGAGTGGAGACTTTAAGGGGGATGGGGAGTAGGAGATTATAGGAACAGTGGAGGAACAGATGTAAAGACCATACACCATAAGGCAGGAAATGAATTAAGAAATTGTGAAAGGGGTAAGCCATCAAAAGGCAGATCAACCAGTTTGCCCACCAGCACAAGGCTGTGTAAACAGGTGTGTAAACCCTGAATCGAGTGCAAGACTGTGGCCAAATATTGGCAGAACCCAAATACTGAGCTCAGACACAAAAATGATTTGGAAATTTGTTTTCTACACACATGTTGTTAGGGCAGCAATATTGATCTGGGCACTGCTGTATGAGCGACAAGATTTCTGGTTTGACCAGAAAGCCCAAATACCACTGGAATGAACAGGAAACCAGGTGACTAATGAGTTCATACTAAAATCCACCTTATTCTTTTGCAGGAAAATGAGCAAAATTATTGTAATATTTCATTAGATACACATTATAAACTCACGTCTAATAGTCATTGAAATCAAGAAAAGAAAGAGTAGGGCTTACCTGCAAAACTACTAAACATCAATAAAACCATATTCTTCTACATGGACCATGTAGGCTGTGAAAGGAATACAAATCCTCACCCATCCTACACATCCTCACACAATATTCATCACAGCTTTTCCCTTATCAACATCTTAATGTGACACAGCCTTTAACGATTTTTTACTTGCATGGGCTTGTTTTAGAATCTTCTAGCACTTGGGACAAAGCCTTGCAGATATAAGTTCTACAGTTTAGTTGCATGGTGCAAGGGAAAATCTGCCTTCATTGATTTGACCTCCAGTTTTCATCCCCAGCTAGGCTCTTTGCTTATCCTTCTGTGAGGTTTGCAGCCCAGCACCATGACCTCTCCTCCAGACCATGGCCCACTGTGTCACCCATGGGTTCCCAAAGCACATGAAGGCAGAGAGTGGCAGAAAAGTCCTGGTTTGGGACAGAATTGAGAGTTCCAGGTGTGGTCCAGGAGAACCCTGTGATCAGATTTACATTGGTACTGCTGCTGCACCTCTGTTTTTGGCTCCAGTGTGTCAGACACATTCCTGCTGGGACATGATGCAGCGTTGTCTCCTGCACTGACACAGCACACATGGAGGTCCAAAAGCACTCACCACATTACTTGTCCAAAGTCAGACTTTCTACTATATCATAGGCCATAGTTTAAACTCAGCAAGGTTCTCCATGAAGTTAGTATAATTCAGCACGAATTAATTCAGTTAACTAATTCAGTTAACTAATTTAATTTATTCATTAACTAATTCAGCAACAATGAAGTACATTGCCAGTCTTTCAGTTTTATGGCAGGCAGAAGCTGAAATGAAGAAACTGAAACAACTTACCTTTCATCATGTTGGCCCAGAAGGAAAAATGGGAGGCCTGCATGAGATAATAAAGGTCAGAGAGTCATTTTCTGGCAAAAACAAAAGCCAGCACAGAGCTTTGCTTACAGTACAAAGATTCTGTTTGTCCCTAGTGCTGGACATCCAGATAAGCTCCCACTTTGGAGCTAACTAACCTAGATTTTAATAGCTCTTTGAAGAGAGAACAAATTGTCAACAGCCCATGGGAGCAGTCTGGATTTTCCAAGCATACAGCCTAAGTTGCTAGGCTGTTCTGATTTGGGGAAAAATCTGACCTGAGTGAGTTGTCTCTTTGTTTATAGGCGATGGCATGCTGGCTATTTGTCCAACTTCTCAGAGATGCTGACAGAGGCCACTCTCCAGCTGGCTGCCAAAGCCAGAGGCTGGGAGATGTCTATGCACAGCAGAGTGCAGCATGGCCCAGAACCTTACACCTGGTGCACCCAGTGGAACATGGACCCTTGAGCTGGAAGACTGTTAACAATCTTTGGATGTAGGAGAATATTTCTGGCACTCTCCAGGAGGAAATGCCATGTGTCCCACCTCCAACGTGGGGCTCCAGCCTTTCCTGTTTGGCTCATGATCAAGGGCAAGCAACAAAAAGGAACAGAGGAAGACAGAAAACAGCTCTTATCTTTTGAAGAGTGTGAGCGAGGTTTGTCTGAAAGGGAAGGCACTGACTCTACACCAGGGCACATCCCCAGTGTGACAATTTCTGTTTGCTTTCCCTCTTGCTCTAAATCCCAGCTGAGGACAGGATTACCCACCTGCAGTGAGGATACACATGCTAACAGTGGATGTAAAGGAGATTTGAAGCTGCTATTCTTCATCCCTCACATAATTTAGGGAATAAAATGTATTTCCAAACAATTTAACACACGTAGTAAAGACAGCATATATACACACACAATTATTATGTGCACCTTTGCATTGCTACAGATACAATTAACTGTAAATATATGCCCTGTTTACTCACACATTCTATATAGAAGAAAGACACTCTCAGATAACGCTGGTTGAGACTGAGAACAAATGAATCAGAAGCAATGAATAAGAAACAGGACAAAATAAAAAGCACAGAATTCACATTTGTGAATATTATCTGGAATATATAAATGAGCTTTTGCTTCAGGCATGTTTGCGTCCCTCTTGTGTTTGAGCCAGGGAGAACAGACACTCCAGTTCTCCCCTTCCCCACTGACTTTAATGAGAGCAATGTCCCCTGAACAGCTCAGCAGAGCCCTTTCCCAGGTGCATTTGAGTGAGCCACACACATACAGAACTAAATCCTTTGCAGCTGGAAGGACACACATCCTCACACAATTGCGCCTCCTGAATGAGTGCGGAGATGATGGTAAATGAGAAGGCTGTAAAAGCTCTGTCCTTGGTGTATAGGTTTCTTGAGTGCAGGTACAGCATTTGTCAGATCCTTTGCCAGACCCCAGCAGAGACTATATAAAGCAAAGGTCTAATTGCTCCATTTACAATTAGTGGTAGTGTTCATCCATAAACACAGACCAAAACATTCCCTGCAAATGTACTCCTTTCTTTTGGAGAAACAGATTAAACAAAGAACAAGGAAGCAGCAGTGGGAGCAGGATGATGCAAGAAACATTTCATCTCACTCTCCAACTCTCTGTGCTGCCCTTTTGTGGTGTTTGCCTCATGGACTGGAAAGGGTTTGGGTCTGAAATGTTTGACTTAGTGGGTTTGCCCCTGCACTTGGGACAGCCCTTGGCACCCCAGGGAATGCCCGAGGGCTTCAGCCCAGACTGAGGTGCACCAGGCTGTTCTGTACCTCAGTTTCCCCAGCTGTAGGGTGGAGATGACAGTCTCACAATGCTCATACCCCAAGGAAACAGGAAAGATGAGAGATGCAGCGTTGTGCTGCATTACTTTCTCTCCCAGGTTATCAAACTGCCTCTCTGTCCAAACATGAGTAGAGCTGACCACAAAAAGGCAGGTACCCTAAACTCCCTCTTGCAATAAAGTGGTGCCCTCAGCAATGTGCAGGTCTACAGTATCATCCTTCAGAGCAGGCAATGGCTTCGTGGCTGGTGAGTGAGTCCTGGATTTTGATTCCTGCTTTTGGATGAAAGCCTCTGTCTGCTGCCTCAGTATAAATATTACTGGGAACAAAAGCTTCTGGAGCACCCAGCATAGAGAGCCCAGGAGTAAAACACAATCTTTACCGTGAGGCTCCTGTATCTCCTTTTGTGCTGCAGCTCTCCCTCGTGTGCCTGTCACAAGCTGCAGCAGCAGAACCACAGGGGACAAAACCTCTGGCAGAGCTGACTTCTCAGCATGGAGGGTTTTCTCCTCTGTCCTGAGGTCCCCTGGACTACTCATCAGACCACACTGGTTTTGAAGCATTTTCACCCCTGCTAGGAAGCAGAGAGCCAAATTTTAGCTTTTTGACTCATGGTATGAAGCTTTCCATGGTGGTGTGCAGCAGAGGAGGAGGAAGAGCTCACTCCTTCCCTCCTGTGTGCTGGAGCTCTCCGCGTCATCCCTTCCAGGAGAGGATGCAGGATGCTGGATGTGGGATGCAGGATGCGGGATGCAGGATGCAGGATGTTAGACATGGGTACAGAAGAAGGATATCAGGAGGGGTGCAGAGGGTGGGGGTCCAGGAGGGGGCTGCAGGAGGGAGCGCAGGCAGGGGCAGGGGAGGCAGGGCCTCCCGCCTGCAGTGCCGTATTGCTCGTGGCCAGCAGAGGAGGATCTTGTCCTTCCGACGAGGTGCAACACTGAGCCCATCGAGGAGCAGGATTTGAACAAAAGGAAGGGGGGCGGGGGGAGAAGAAATTAGGCTGTGGGGTTGGTTTCACCAAACGGTCTCCTTGCTGCAGCTCGACACCGATACTTTGTGTGCTCTCTCATGAGGGAATAAAATCACTGGATTCTGTTCTTAGCAGTTCTGCAGCGATGAGGGACAAAGCTGGAAGAATTTGCAGAGAGCAATCTTAAATTTTATTACTTCAGGCTCATAAAAAAAGAAACCCTGCCAAATAAAAGATAAAAGAAAAAAGAAAATAAAAGCTAGGAGGGACATTCTACATGGGTACCAGTGCACCGCTGACTATGGGGCCAACTACATCTATAGGGCTCCTAGAAAAAAATTATGAAATTCAAAATATCCTAATTTCACCTGACCTTAGTTGTCTTTTGTCACTGTAATGATTAGCACTTCTCTAAAACTTAATTCCTCCAAAGAACCTTCAAAATTTTGCTAAATAGATTTTGTACTGATATTAAATATTGCAGATACATGATGCACTCAATTTTTCCATTTCAACTCCTTCAGAAAGAGAGACTAATGAAATGTAATAGATTTCAAACAGGAATGACAGAACCACGAGCTTTCCTTATCTCAGGATGGAATCCTATGGCTCTTTATCAGACAAAAATGTCCAGTTAATCTGTAGCAATTCTTTCTGAATAAACCCAGGAAGATCTGACCCCAGATTCAAGGGAAATTATTTACAACTGCCAAGGGCATTTGCAACCGATCCGTTTATTGTGTCTTGGGTACATTGCTACCTCTTACTACAATACAAATGAATCACTAAAACACAAAAGCAGGTGGAGAAAGAGAGCAAAAAGGTGGCAGCCCGGGGTTATGTTGTGAATTTACATATGTGCAAAACAGACTTCCAGAGAAAACAGTGTAATTACTCAAGCTTGCATGACGGAGTAGCAGGAAAGATGAAAATTAGCTCTATAGATACACACACACCGCAACAAAGCACTACAGGAATTCCAGTATTAAACTGTATTGGTAGGAATTGGCTTATTCACTCAAGTGCATTAAGTCCTGCAAATTCTCCTGCAACTTGAAGTGGCCTCTGCGGCAGAAAAACAAAGAGTATGCTTTCATTTGTTCATCTGTACAGTCACAGCTTTGCAGCCAAGAAGGAGGTGGGATGGGGTTGAACTGGAGAATGAAGATGGATATTTGATCAACTTCCATCCACAAGTGACACAAGCCATGAAGGAGCCATGAGGGCAGACACAGCTACTGCCTTCTCGTAGTGAACCCCTTGATCCTGCTGACAGCTCTCAGTAGGAACCTTTGTCTGGGCTGCTTGCCAAAGGAGGAGGGAATCGACAGTTCTGATGCTCTTACAATCGGCCAGATTTTTGCCTGCAACCATCTTGGGTAGTGACAGTCTTTGAACTTCAAGGGAAAGTGGCTTTTCCAGCAATGACATTGTGTTTCTCAGCCAAGGCCATGGTTGCAGTATAATGAAAGAAGGGCATATTATCATCTGGAGCACACATGCAACACATGTTGTGATTTTAGCCTGGGAAAACATTGTCTGAAAGGATTCCACCAAAACCTCTGAGTTCTTCACTTCTCTGCTGACAAGACGTCTCCTGTCTCCACACTGAACTGCAATTTGTGCACCAGAGTAAATGATGTGTTCCTTATCAACCAGTCCCAGAGTACCCCGAGAAGTTCACACTTAAAATCTTTATTTTGCTGATTATTTAGTGGTGAACTTTTCCCATGGTAGCTCCTGATACAAAACCCACAGGGACCGAGGAAAAAAGCGTGATCCTTCAGAGGTACTGCTGAGACCAGCTTGGTCCTCTGCTCAGGAGTTACCTGCTCCTGTTTTCTAAGAAATCAAAGTTTCCAAATTAATCTTTGCTCTGTAAGAGGTGGCCTGGCAGCAGCTGGGTGTTTTTAAAGCTCACTGGTGGCTGAAATGTGCTCATGCTCCCAGGTGGAAAATGGGGTCAGCCTTGGATGCCGCAGCACAGGGAAGGTACAAAATGTGTTTCAGGCTGCCAGAGCCAGCTAGTCACACTAACATGAGTGCCTGCGCTATCAAACGCTCCTGTAGCCAGTACTGGGAATGCAGGTTATACTGCTAGACTTAAAGCTTATGCAAAGTCATTAAGTCCCTTTAGTTACAGGGGATATCAACCTGCACGCTGCAGGGCATAAGCTGATTGCCTTCGGGGGTCAGTGAGGAACGCTTCCCTCTCTGAGAGCACGGTGCAAAATTAGCTGGGGGCGCTCCCAGGGCTTTGTTGCTTTCCTGCTGCATCAGGCAAATTTAGGCGAGCACTGTGGCAGGGCATTACACCTGATGGGCCACAAATCCAGGCGGGCTTGGCAGCATTTGCTTCTCTTTGCAGCGATCGGTGCGCAGCACAGCGGAGCGTGAAGCCCCGGTGTGCGTGGTGCAGCCCCCCGGCGAGGGAGCAGAAGTGGGAGTTCACACTTGGATGTAAACTAGCAATGGATCAATTGGGGTTTAGAAAAAGATGTCAGACAGAGGCGACTTTGGTACACCCTAAAATATTGGACTCCAAGCACCTGAGGCAAGGAAGGACCTGAACTGATGGCAACAGTATCCTGCTTGCTGTGGGCCAAGAGGGAGATAGGCCCTTATGATAAGGGTTTCTTTTTTGCAATTGTTAGATTTTAATGTGATACTTTTATCCTTCACTTTCCATTACTAAGTGCACTTGGTTACTGGATTGGGCAAGGCTTTCCATCACAACTAAGTGGACATCAATTTTCTAAAGTTCCAAAGTATTCAGTGAAGAGCCACCTCTGCTACCCTGACCCTTGCAAGTCTTCCTCCCTGCTGCTGGGGAAGTTGAGTTTGCAGTGATATCTGATACAAAGAAAAGGCCTGATCTGAACACCTGTAGATTTAAAAATAACTTTTTTTTTCCTGTGAACATGTGCTGAATCACTTTAGAGCACTGTTAGGTGGGAGCTGCAGCCTGGTGTATGGGAAGGGCTGTGACAGCACTGGAATGTTGTGGGATCCAACTTTCTATTGTCCTGTTCCAGATTTCTCTAGCCCAACTCAGCATAACATTTAAGCATATCATTTAAATCTGAGTGCATTCCAGAAAAACTGCTTCAGTACAAGTCTGGATAACTGAGGATACACAGCTCAGTTGCAGCAGTGTTCTTTGGCTTTCTCTCTGACTAATTAAAGAATATTTAGCAATACCTTGATGGCAGGCACATTTCTACTACAGCATCTTGCTAAGCAGAAGTGAAATGGAAAGTGGGGGAAAAGAAACCCAACCCAAGAAGACCTGCCATGTCTGAAGACAATCTTTGGTGCAGTTGTTCACAAATGTTAAAGGACCAAATTCAGTGCTCACCGTGCAGCTTGATGCCTTTTAGGGAAATAGCTTGGATTCATGCAGATGGAATCAGTTTCTCTTCAGGTAGTATGAAAGAACTGAATGAAAATTTTTGTCTTAGGATTCTGCTCCAAACCTGCTAAATCTATGAATGTCCAAATATTTTCTTGTTCTATTGTGACTGACTCAGCATTAACTACTGCTTAAACCCATGTTTGTCTTCTGCTATATTTCACCAATCACCAACAATATTTTTTAATCAGCTTATTACTTAAAAGAACTTCTAAAAACAGATTCAAATAAAAATTATGAAGATCATTAGTTCTAGAAAAGGATGAAAATAGGAATTTAAGGGTGTTTTCTGTGGTTTCAGCAAAATGCAGCATCTATTATTTTTCATGCAAACTATTTCAGTGCAATGTTTTCTTCAGGACAAATCATTAAGACAAAAATATCATCTCATAACTTGTTTGTCATGCAATGGTCACATCATGGCAACTCATTCCCCTCTTTTTTTTTTTTTCTGGGATCCATGCCAAGTGCTAAGCCAGAAAACCTTGTTATATTAATTATGAAGAAAAAGCATGTTTTATTAAAAACTAGCCTGCTGAATATTCTGTCGTGCTGCTTTTCAGTGACAGCAGAATTGCTTTTGCATTTTAGCAATGTTAATGAATTTTCAGGGGTGGAGGGAGATGTACTCTACATTTTCCATAGCAATTTTTAAAGCAAAGTCTGATTAGGACTGTCAAAGCATTGAATCAATCTAACACCTAGGAGTAGTTAGAAAAAAATCTGGGCAAGACTTCATGTTGTCTAAGACTGGCCCCACATCTTCCTAACTGAGCATGAATTAACACTGCCAGATTCATGATGAGCTTATTTGTACTAGATGGTGATCCCACAAAATCTGTAAAACTGGCATTTAAGTACCCTAGAGCTGATCCCCTCAGTAAGATGCTACCTGTACTACTGGATCAGTTGTGACATGGCTCCTAATACACTATTAATAATTACTCTGTTGGGTTGTGAAAATCACTGATCTCAAATTCTAGACTTCTTAAAAAAATCTATGCCACATTAAACCCCCTCACTATATATTTTTCCCAAATAATTCAAATTAAATAGGACAACATCTGAATTTTTGCAATGCATGTCAGTAAATATGAACCTGAACACGTAGGAAAAGCCACTAAGAAAGCAGATGTTTAAAAGAACTTCAGATTCCTTCATGAGAAAGTCTACTTGATTGCTTGGAAGAACAAAAGAAATTTTTTTAAAACTGACTTTTAACTTTCCTTTGATTACAAGTCATTCTTCCAGTCTTCTTTAAAGAGGAGATGAATAGATGTAGGAAAGTATATCAAGCTCTGCCAGAGCAGAGCTCTGGTCACCCCTAGCTGTGTTGAATATTTTGCCATTAACCTTCCTCCCACGTTAGCGACAACCATAATTCAGTCATTCAAAACCTGTGGGTGGGGGAATTTTTACCTTTTACAGAAGAGTTTGCAGAACTGCCAAGGCAGGGCCTACCTGACCTGTTTAATCCGATATTTAGTCCCTTCAGAATGAAGACTGGAAATTAGGAAGAAAGTATTTACAGTGAGGGTGGTGAGTCATGGGCACAGGTTGCCCAGGGAGATGGTGGATGCCCCATCCATGGAAATAAACATGGCCAGGCTGCATGCAGCTCTGAGCAACCTTTGCCTGGTCCCTCTCCATGGCAAAGGGGATGATCTTTAAGGTGCCTTACAACTCAAACTATTCTAAGTTTTTAAGATGAGTTGCCCATGCTGCAGCCCAGGGTTTTGGGGCATTTCTTTGTGCTCAGGGCTAGGAGAAGGACCGTGCTCCCCACCACAGACCACTGGGAGTGGTGTGGTCACTCAGTGTACCCAGAAGAACCATTCCTTGACTCTGTAGATGTCTGCTTCAAAAAAACCCCATGGGGCTTCCCTCTTATGTTGCATTAACTCGGTCGCTTCAGTGGCTTGAAATATAGATACAGCAGAGCTGGCACATGGAAAGAAAAAGGAGAATAACAACATACTCACGCCCAAACATGTAGTTCCTAGGAGAATAACCAGTGGAAGAACCTGAAGTGTCAAAGCAATGTTAACCATCCTTGTTTTTTTCTTGAAATTTGCTTTTTCTTCTTGCCTATGTATTTTCAGTCAATCCACAATCTTTTGAGGTTGAGCTAATTCAGTGCAAATAATTAACCGTGCTTCAAATATTGTTTAATGTTCAACAGATTGCCTTGATCAAATAAATGCATCCTATCCAGATAATCACTGCATTGACAATTGGCAAATGTTTCAAATCAGTAAATAACGAGGATAGGAACAGTATAAATTAACAACAAAAACAAGCATTTACCTTGTATTAGAATTATCTTTTAACTATTATTTTAAATTGAGAAAAAACTATGAATCATACTTCTCTCCCACCTGAAAAACAGTAAGATTGTTACATAATATATGATTTTAAAAGTATGTTGTTTGATTATTTTCTAAATCTCAGCATGAATTAGAGTTCATGTTTTCAAGCTTTTTTCCACTAATGTGAGAACCAGCATTTATTTTTATTTTTTTTAAAAAAAGAATCTAAATTCTTGAGTTACCTCTATTCTCTGAGGCTGAAGCATTTGTAACAACAGTAGCAACTCAGGAAATCAGAATACTTCTGCAAGAATAAACACTCTCTGTGGAGGAAATGCTGACAAACTTTCTCTTAACAGATATTGTTTGTGCTGCATGTTACAAGAACAAATGAAGTGACCATTCTTTCTCTGAAACAGTTTAGAACCTGCAAAGGATGAAGGTGATAGTGTCCACATGCTGAAATATGAGGAAGAAAACAGTGAAATCCCAAGGGCTTCAAAATTTCCCATCCTGAATGTGATTTTGTGGTGAAAAAGACTGTTGTGAGCACTTGATACATAGTGATATGTGCTGAAATTTAGATGCCAGAGAACCTTGTTTCTGGTGATTCCTAACTCTGGAGCACAAACATTCCTAAAGGAGATTTCACACACCAAAAAATACACAAAGAATTTTGATATCCTGACTATTCCACATGTGCATACCTTAAGCAGGTGTCTACAAGTAACATGTGTTTGAGACAGTATGTTGGTGGCCAGCCACAAATACAAGTTTATGAAATTCCAGATTCTTTAACTAGTTAGGAAGACAGCAAGATAAAAGGAGTTAGATAACACACGACTTTATGTAATGTGTCCTTGAGTAAGCTGATTTGCACTGAATTTTAATAGAGCCCTGATTCATCAAATCTCAAACAGAATTAAGGTATGGACTGGATCCTAATAACATCATGCTTTATATCCATGAAAGATAAATTAAAGGATGCAAAACTGCTATTGACAAACATTGATTATATGTACTTTGATGGACTTTGAAGTTGTGCCAGATGCGTCTTGTCAGCCTCCGAAGTTTTCTTTTAAATCTCATTGCATAAGGCTTTTACTTTTTAATTATTTTTTCCCTCAGCCTCTTTGATCAAGAAAAAATGTAGATCATATTTGTGTGATGCTATTTCCTATGCATTTTATTTAGATATGCCCTTGTGCACAGCTCATGATATGTAAAAAAATGTTACATGGCACCTAGTGATCTTACCCTGCTATCCTGGGTGCTATTTAATACTTAATTGACCTTCTTGAGATGCTGAGTGAAATTGTGCCATGTGCAGAGAGCTAGCACAATGCTCATGGTCCTTTTATACCACAAAAATTTATATAATTTGATGCAAGATAGAAGATTGCTCTTGTTTTTTTTTGGGGAATTGACTATTCCCTACATCTCCAAGCCCATCCTAGTGATCATGGTTTGCACATCAGACATGAAGTATTTCTCCATGACAATATAGGTGTCTTCCAACAATAAACATGGAGGAAAAGAAAAAGATAAAAACCATCAAATCCTTTTAAATTGAGAATAAACAGATGAAAACAAAAGTTTTCATCCATGGAGTACTGGACCAGGACTGTGGTGGGCTGGGTGTTTTCTGCATCACTGTCGATAATGCCTTGAACAAATCATTTCTCTAAATACTCCTTCATTCCCATCACAAGAGTGTGGCTAGTAACTTCTCAGTTTTCACTATGTCCTGTCTGTTTAGATCATAAACTCTTCTAGCTCACTATTTTTTCCTGTATTAATGAGCAGCTCCAGGCAAAAGGCATGCCCTGTCCTAGCTGTGATGTCTACTATAAAGGAAGGAAAAAATAACCTAAAGACTGTAGTCTCAAATGATCTATTTGGAATTAGTACTCATTATTATACTCTGTAATGCTTGAGCAGCTCTGGTTGCCAGAATAAACAGCAGAAACATTACTTTGTCTTTTTTTTTCCCCTAAAATGGGAATTTCCACTGAAAAAATATTACTCTTGGATATTTTTCTGCCACTGTACAGATCACTTGAATTCTGATCCTGGAAAGCATTTCAAACCCTTCCTGGCTGATAACTCTTCTCCATTCTCCAACACAAATGAATATTCTGTGCTGGATCTACCTCTATGTGTCTGGTGTACATGTATTATCATGCTGTTAGACACACCAACTGCAGAACTAGTTATTAACACCAGAATAAACAAATCACCACAGCTGTGAGAGGAGAGAAAACTCCAAAGATAAAAGCAAGATGAAAACATCTACTTTGGGAATTTAACAAAAGCAGAAGTTCTAGAAACACTTACTGGCATCAGCCCACAGGAGCACAAGCCAGGCCCTTCAAGGGTAAGAACATCTCTCTTCAGAGTCAACAGCAATGCCATGGAATATGCATGGATGCTTTGACTTTGGTCTTTTACACTGCTACCATTTTGTGGTTTTCTTTAATTAACCTAATAGCTCAAAAGCTACATATGTTCATGCTTCCTATTTACTGTTCCCTCCATTTCCATTAAATACAAGCCCTTTTCAAACTGCAAATGAAAATGAGAAAGCAGAAGTCCTATTATTCCTCTTTTTACAGAAAGACTGGAATTGAGAGAGAGTATGGGGAATTGACTTTCATTATAAAATCTGGAGAGTGGAGGAGGGGTATTCTCTATGAGAAATTCAACTTGGTGCAGAAAGCCAGCATGAGGTCTAGACATCCCTTAAATCAACATTTAAAGTGTTGTGGTTGCTTCATAATTCTCTCTAGCAGCACATTCCCAGTGATGGTTTCAATTCTTGAGCTCAGATCAAAAGCACAGTTAAAAATTTCAAGACAATCAAACAAACAAAAATCAGAGTGAGTGCAGGCAGCAGAAAGTTCTGTTGGACATGCAAGAGGGCTCTTCCCTCATCCATCCTGCTGTAACCCAGAAGTAATTCATCAAAGGCTTTATGCTAGCTCAAAGCTGGTGCAAAAAGCTGAGCTGGTTGGAGAGAGAGACAATCCCACCCCAGGGATGCACACCAGGACCAGCTGCCTCTCTCTGACACTGGTTTGGTACCAAACTTTTCCTCTGAAGCTGCATAAACATCACCTTGAAGAACAACCTGCCACGGTGGAGCTTTGTCCACATGCTCAAAGATTGACAGACACCCGACTAAAAGATTTCCTATCCACTTCTGGCCTCTTGGGTGTTCTTTTAAATCCTTCTTAGAACAGCTCCAGATATTCTTGTTAGCTGTGCTGCTTTCTGAGCCCATTTCTGTGTCTTGGAGCTGCCTGCTAAAAGCATTAAAATTGTAAAGTGGTGGATGAAGGAAGACAGTTTTGCTTTCAAGCTGGAAAACATGCATCAAAGCCCCTGTAGTAAATTTACAGAGTATTAAAAACAAACAAAATCTGACCGTAGGGTAACATCATTTTAGGAAAGATGCGATGGCCTACCTCAAAGTCTGCATTTAATGTGCACAGCACTCACTTAACCTGCCTAGGCTATAAATCCCAAGGGCCAAATTCCGTCCAACCATCCTAAAAAAAAGAGATATTTTTAGACTGCAAAGGTAGAGCTAATATAGTCTCTCTGCTCCAGTTACCAAGCACCTCCTCCACAGGCCCCATTGGTCGTTCTCCGGGTGAAGTAGAGAGCAGGAATGTTAATCCAAAGGAACTTGTACAAGCAAAAAGCATAATAAAATAGGACCCCCATGCATGCTATTTTGCATGCATTTAGAGGCAATCACAAATTAAACCTGAGTTTTAAAAAAACCCAAGACATGCTTCCAATTTACATCATTAAATAATAATTACTGATTTTTTTTAATATTTTTTTTTCCATTTGCTGTAGCGTTGTTACTTTAAAGAGGAGTCACACATTTTTCATCCAGTCACCATTTGTTTTCAGGAAAGGAATCCAACAGGCAATCATACAGTAATACACATAATAAATATCTGTGAATTCTTTGGCAGAATAATTTAATATGCTGTTCAATGAATTGTCTGAATGACTGAAATAACAGAGACAAGTAACTTCAGGTGCAAAGATGCACAAGTGTTATGAGCACAGCTACGCAGTTCTGACAGAGCCAAAGAATTTTCCATAAAAACTGATATTTAATTCTCCTAAAATGTTTAGATTTCCTTGTGTGGCACACTAAGTAAGTATATGAAGCAATTTTAAATTTTCATATATTGTTTAATGGTCATTAGTGCATATTCATGGATATAGTGCAGAATTATTCATCTGAGTGGCCAGCTGAAAAGTTGTGCCTGGTGGTAGACCCTGCCTTAGCTTCTTGTTCTCCTTGTGAGTAGCCTTCTGTCATGTTTATCTTGGTTTCGTGTTCAACTTGGCTGGCCTGCTGTGATAAGCAGGGCCAATTTGGTTGAGCTTGAAGATGATGATTAATTTCAAGCTCAGCTTCCCCAGGTTACAATTCCTTTTCTTGTTCCCTCATCTCAGATCTATACTTTGACCTGAATTTTTTTTCTGAAAAGCTATTTTTTTTCTGTAGACACTGATCCAGTATTCAAGCTCATTTTTAACATAGCTGGAGTCAAACAAGTTATTTTTTTTTTAAATTTAAGATTCTGAATCTTGTAACAGAAAAACAGAAACAGCACAGCATTGTTTGCACTTTTCTCCAGGTAGCAGTGGCAACCACAAGTAAAACTGATCATGGCTTTTATCAGACTTTCTCAGATGAGTAAGTTGTCTCTTGAGCAGCAATGCTAAATATGAGCACCAGATCAATAACTGCAGGGGTAATAGTTTATAAATTAGTCACTGGAATTGTGAGCAGATCC